CCGCCACCACGCGATTTCTGTTCTCATCCTGAAGCAAAGTTCTTAACCCGAGGTACTATTTCTGGGTTAGCGGACCTGAAGCGTCTGTAACCCGAGGTACCACTGTAATCCCACCAACTCCTCCCAGTAGCTCTTGCCCCAATGAGGCGGTTGTGAGGACTGAAGGTCCCCACCTTCCCCACAGCTGCCTAAGTCCACTCCTCTCCAGGGTTTTTTCCCCAAGCAATCAGAGACTGAGACTGTGCCTGCATACAACCAATCTCTGCTCTGCTCTTTTCATGTCTCTGTGTGTGAGACCCACGGGGAGGGGAGCTGGTTGCAGCAGGAGGGGGAGACTCCCTGGCTTCCTCACCAGCCTGCCTCATCTCTGCCTCTTGGCCCTCCTCCTCCCCAGCCTCCGCTTCTACCTCTGCCTCTGAACCCATCTGCCACAGTCTCTTCTTGCTCACTAAATCCTGTTGCCTGTTCAGCTTCTGACACCTTCTCCTCCCAGTCTGCTTCCTCTTCTCCTTCCGACCACTCATGGTCACCACATCACCAATCCCCTGGCTCTGAGCCTTCTTCCCTGGGGGTTCCCTTGGGGGGTTCCCTAGCCGGTACCTCCCACCACTCCTCTGCCTCCAACCAGTCCTTGACACTGGGAATATCCCCAGCCCTGCCTTGTAGATGCCAGGGATTGAACCTGGGACCTTCCACATGCAAGGGAGAATCTTTTTTTTTTATAAAGATATTTATTGGCATTTTCACAAATTTTATAACACATAAAAATCACAAAAAACACAAAAAACAAAAACAAAAATACATACAAAAAAGGCAAAAAACCACATGTATAACTTCATTCCCTTATGTTCATGAAACTTACTTTCCCGACCTCCTCATACCTCTCCTTACTGTATTCCATTCTCTAATTAAGTCTCTTCAACAAATCCTTCCCTTAGTTTCTGTTAGATTTTTAAGCTTACTTTTCATATTCACATAAAGATTACAGCTAGCAACCGCTTAATTTCAAAATCAGCATCGTCTTAACATTCAACGATTTTACAATATTTCTTAAGATAGTCTTTAAATTTCTTCCAATCTTCTTCCGCCGTCTCTTTCCCCTGGTCTCGGATTCTGCCGGTCATTTCTGCCAGTCCCATATAGTCTATAACTTTCACCTGCCATTCTTCCACGGTGGGTAATTCTTCTGTCTTCCAATACTTTGCAATAAGTATTCTTGCTGCTGTTGTAGCATACATAAAAAATGTTCTGTCCTTCTTTAACACCAATTGGCCAACCATACCCAGGAGAAAGGCCTCTGGTTTCTTCAGAAAGGTATATTTAAATACCTTTTTTATTTCATTATAAATCTTCTCCCAGAAAGCCTTAATCCTTGGGCACGTCCACCAAAGGTGAAAGAATGTACCTTCAGTCTCTTTACATTTCCAACACTTATTATCAGGCAAGTGGTAAATTTTTGCAAGCTTGACTGGCGTCATGTACCACCTATAAATCATTTTCATAATATTTTCTTTTAAGGCATTACATGCCGTAAATTTTATACCGGTGGTCCATAACCGTTCCCAGTCTTCAAACATGATGTTATGACCAATATCTTGTGCCCACTTAATCATAGCTGATTTGACAGTTTCATCCTGTGTGTTCACATGCAAGGGAGAATCATTGCCACAGAGAAGCTCATCCCTCTCACCATCAGAAAAACCCAGCTGTTTCCAGTAATAGCTGGTCCTTGAAGGCAGACAGTTTGCTCTGCCTGCAATCAGCTCTGGCACCCCCTGCTGTTGGGTTCCCTGCCTTCTACCCTATCCTGTCTCAATGGGTTCCAGCCACCATCACGTCTGACCTTCTGGTGTAAGGAAAGTTCTTACAGTATTTGGACATGTGATTTCGGGTGAGTTTTGCCTCCTCATTGTTGGGGAACTCACCCAGAAAAGTGTCACAGCTATTTTGCAAGCCTGGAAATGACTTCGACGGAGGTTCATAAGGGTGGAAAGTAGAGTTGCTTCCCTAAACGTTCAGTTTCAGAGACGGAAACAACGGGTGGCATGTTCAGATCCCTGGCCTTGGTCTTGCCAGCCTTTGACGCCTCTTTGTTGCCACAAACAAACTGCACCTAGCTCGTCTCTTTTCCACAGGCCCACCAGCCTCTGCCTCCTTACCACAGCTTCCCATAAAAACTGCCTTCTTTTCTTTTCTTCTCTTTTCTTCTCTTCTCTTCTCTTCTCTTCTATTGCTCCTGCTTTGCCTTTAACCGTTAGCCCTCCCACAAACCTCAGGAAGTCATTTTAAAACGAAGCTGAGTGTTTGGAGATTGCAGTAGAAGTATGTCTTCACACAGTGCGTAGTTAAGCTACGGAACTCCCGCAGGAGGTAGTGATGGCTGGATAAGAGAATTAGACAAATTCATGAAGGATAAGGCCATGATGGCCATGTTTTTTGGCGAAGACTTTTTGTTTCTGTTATAATGCATATAAAACAGAGAGAACGGTGATAACAACAGATGAGAATTCAAAGATGACAAACAAAACTATAAAACAGGCACTTAGAATAAGTACATTTGCACATGGGCTAAAATAACAAAGTCCAAGTAAAAAAATATTAGCGTTTTCTGATTATTAAGTCTAGTTTCCAATTTGCCAGGCTGGGGACAAGGATTGTCATGAAAATGATGTTTCTGCTGTTGATGTCATAACACAATGCCTAATCATATAAAAAGTGTCCGGAAGTTCTAATCCCTGTGGAAATCTCAAATTATGCATATTTTTCTCCATTATTCCAGTGTGAGAGGTACTAAACATCCAGTGTAAGATTTGGGGCCATTTTCCATTGAGTTGGAGTTACTGTTTGAGCTGCCAAGACCAATAAGTTGGAGTTACTGTTTGAGCTGCCAATAAGACCCATTATTTAATTTTGGACAATAAACCATGGTTTCTTTAGGAATAATCATCTGCCAAAATTAAAAAAAAAACTACAAAAAACTTGCACCAATTTACAGCACCGCTATAAATGATATGTACCAAGTTTATTGCAACCTCCCCAACAATTAAGTGATGTAGAAGAAAGTGTTTTTGATATCTGCCAAGGAGGGTAATACCTTCTGTGACAGCTGTGTTTGACCTCTGTGTTTGACCTCTGTTGTCTCTGAATGCCCCATTGCTGGAAATTGCAAGTTGGCATAGCATTGCTATTGCACCACCCAGGTCCTGCTGTTGGACCTCTCATTCATGCATCTGGCTGGTCATATTGCTGAACTATGATGGGCCCAATCCTCTGGATGTTGTAATGAGCCCAAGGATCACGCCAGCTGACAAAGAGAGGATTCCCCTTTGTCCTAGTCAATTTAATGCTTTGAAAATCGTCTTGACCGTTATTTGACCGGCTGAGGCAATCGTTTCCTCAATCAGTCAAATGCCCAGCCTGAAATCCACGAGTCAAACTTAGGGAGGGAGGGGGTTTATTTTATCTCTTGCCCTGATATCCTACCTTTCCAACAAGGAACTCCAGGTCGTAATACATGGTTCTCCTCCCATCTCCATTGTATCCTTAAAACAGCCCTGAGAGGTTGGTTAGAGAGAGTATGGCTGGTTCAAGGTCATCCATGGCTGTCTGGATTTGAACCCTGGCTTCCCAGGTCCTAGTCCAACAACCTAACCACTATGCCATGCTGGAAGGGCATTACAGTAACTCAATATTAAATGGATCTGACCCAAAGAGACCATTTCAGTCTTTTCCCAAACTTTTGGAAGGGCTGCTGTGCACACATTGCTCGGTTGAGGGCGAAGGCCGTCTGTTAAGATGCTTGAGGCTGAAGCTGCAGTTGGTGCAGAATGCTGCAGCACGGTTGCTGACAGGAGTAAGGCCTTGGCAGCATATAACACCTGTGCTCCAAGAACTGCACTGCTTGCCAATTTGCTATTGGGCCAAGTTCAAAGTGTTACTATTAGTATATAAATCTCTGAACAAGCTGGGACCAGTTTACTTGTGAGATCGCCTTACCACATCTATATCCATTTGGCTGCTTTGATTTGCAGAACTGGCATTGTTACAAGTGCCACATAATACCAGACGCTCCCAGTGCCCTTATTTTCCAGGGACAGTCCCAGATGTTACAGAAGCTGTACCGGTTTCTGATGTGATCCTGGAATGTCCTGCTTTTCCTTAGGACGTCCCTATTTTCATCAGAAAAATGTTGGAGGGTAGGGAGTTATGTGACCACTGAACCAAGAAGATAAGTAACTACAGTCATACCTTGGTTTTCAAACAGCTTAGTTCCCAAACGTTTTGGCTCCTGAATGTTGCAAACTCAGAAATGACTGTTCCGGTTTGCGAACTATTTTTGGAACCCAAACGTCTGACAGGCTTCTGAGGCTTATGATTGGCTACAGGAGCTTCCTGCAACCAGAAGCTGCAATTTGGTTTTCGAACATTTTAGAAGTCAAACAGACTTCTGGAACAGATTCTGTTTGACTTCCAAGGTACGCCTATATGCAACCTTTAGAAGAAATCTGAAGGCAGCCCTGTATGGGGAGGTTTCTTAATGTTTAATATTTTATTATGTTTTTATATATGTTGGAAGCTGTCTAGAGTGGCTGGGACATAGATAATAAAATTATTATTATTATTATTATTATTATTATTATTATTAGTTGTTTTGTTGTTGTTGTTGTTAAATAGGACGTCCCTATTTTCATCGAAGAAGTGTTGGCGGTTATATAATACCCATTCTGCATTTGTAAGAAATCTATATCTTAGTGTGGCAGCACTTAAACTTTGGAACTCCCTGCCTCTTGAAACCAGGCAGGTGCCTTCAGTGTACCCTCTTCAGTGCCTGCTAAAAACATTATTGTTTGGGCAAGCCCATCCAGATGTTTAGAAAGTTGATGCAAGTCTCAGCCTGTTTTTAGTCTATTGTTATTTTAACTTTTTGAAAGCCATAATGAAATGAGTTAATAAATATGAGTCCCAGGGCCTGACGTCTCTCCCTCTTGCTGTCCTTGCAGGTGCTGCGAATGTGGGGCGTCCCTTTCCCACCAGTACTACGAGAAGGATGGACGCCTCTACTGCAAGAAGGACTATTGGGCGCACTTTGGGGAGCTCTGCCACGGCTGCTCAGAGCAGATCACCAAAGGGCTCGTTATGGTAAGAAAGGGGGTCCAGGAGAGAGCAGAGGGATCTCCTCTAGCCCAAATGCTTTGCTGAAATGAAGACATTCTGTGTCTTTGGCATCCTCATGATCTACCAAACCAGCCGCTGCATCAAGAAAGGAGACAAGCTTTGTCTGGCATGGCTTTCTCTTGTGAAATCCATACTAGCCTCTAATATCAACACATTATTTTCTAGATGCTCCCAAATGGACTCCTTAACCGCCTGCCCTAGAATTTTGCCCAGTATAGCCATTGGCTCTTACATTGGCTCCCAGTATGTTTCTGAGCACAATTCAAAGTGTTGGTGTTGACCTTTAAAGCCCTAAACGGCCTCGACCCAGTATACCTGAAGGAGCGTCTCCACCCCCATCGTTCAGCCCAGACACTGAGGTCCAGCGCCGACGGCCTTCTGGCGGTTCCCTCACTGCGAGAAGCAAAGCTACAGGGAACCAGGCAGAGGGCCTTTTCAGTACTGGTGCCCGCCCTGTGGAACACCCTCCCATCAGATGTCAAAGAGATAAACAACTACCTGACATTTAGAAGACATCTGAAGGCAGCCCTGTCCAGGGAATTTTTAAATGTGTGACATTTTCATGTCTTTCTAATCCTTGTTGGAAGCCGCCCAGAGTGGCTGGGGAAACTCAGCCAGATGGCAGGGTACAAATAATTTATTGTTATTGTTATTATTATTATTATTATTATTATTATTATTATTATTATTAGGCTGGCCTGCCTGAATTTCCCAGAGCTGTTTTCCTTTTCTGTTTTTGAAAAGCAGGGGCAATCCCATCCCACTCCTTTTGCCCATCTCCAGTCTCCCAGCCCCTCACCTTCTCTCCAAAAACGCTCAAAAGAGGCTCTGAAATAACCCACTGCAAGCCCCTCTTTAGACTTCTTTGTTCTGCATTTCCCAGGCTGAACATAGTTCCCCTAGCAGAAGAAGACAGAGGCCAAAAAGGAACTGAGTAGTTCCTATTTCCTCCAAGTCACCTCTTAACTCAAACCACAGCCACCTGCACGTCACCTGGTGTCATAGTTCTGGGAATTAGGTCTATGTCGTAGTTCTGGGAATTAGGTCTTTTGGGAGGGGGTCACATGCTCCCTATAGGATCAGACTTGCAGGGCTCCTGGATTCCAACACTGACAGTGAGCCCTTCCTGATATGTGCCTTTGCAGGTGCAGTTTAAATCCAGGCTCCCTATTGGTTCCTGTTAGTTTGTTTCAGAATTTATAAACCCCTCTCCATAGAACTAGAGAACTAGAAGAGATGTAAATATGTAAATACAGTGGTAGCTCAGGTTACATACGTTTCAGGCTACATACACTTCAGGTTACAGACTCCGCTAACCCAGAAATAGTACCTCGGGTTAAGAACTTTGCTTCAGGATGAGAACAGAAATCGTTCTCTGGCGGCAGCGGGAGGCCCCATTAGCTAAAGTGGTGCTTCAGGTTAAGAACAGTTTCAGGTTAAGAACAGACCTCCAGAATGAATTAACCCGAGGTACCACTGTACATGTGTCTGTTTCCCTCCTAGGTTGCTGGAGAACAGAAATATCACCCCGAATGTTTCAGCTGCCTGAACTGCCGGGCATTCATCGGCGATGGAGACACTTATGCGCTGGTGGAACGGTCCAAGCTCTACTGGTGAGAGGGGAGAACAGCTGGGCTCACTTGTGGGGGGGGCAGTGCTTGGGCAGGAAACAGGCAGAGAGAACCAAAGGGACAGCTTTCATTATTGCAGGCTACAAATGGAGATTTCAGGCTCCGCTGTGGAGCCTTGTCCCGTATCATAAGAGCATCAGAAGAGCCTGGTGGATCAAGCCAATGGCCAATCTAGTCTAGCCTCCTGCTCTTGTAGGGGCCAACCAGATGCCTCAAAGCAAAGCCTGAAAGCAGGATTCAAACACAAGAGCCCTCTCCCCTCCTGTGGTTTCCCTCCTGTGGCTTTGCTGCACCTCCAGCTGTGGAGGTGGCTAGTAACCATTGGTAGCCCTCTCCTCTATGAATTTGTCTAGTCCTCTTTTAAAGCCAACTAGGTTGGTAGCTGTTCTGGGAAACAAGGCTCATTAAGTAACTTGTAAACTGCGATGCAAAACAACACCGGTTCCTCCACTTTAGCTAATTTACTGATCCAAGTATTTGTTTCTTGTAGCATCAGTGCAGCTTGTTTTCTCTAGGCTGCAGTTTTGTGCTATTTCCAAACTATTGGTACTGGGATATTTTACCAGAATACAGCAACCCTGTCACATAGACAGCTTCTTGAACATTGAGGGCAGCCGGGGACAGTGTGGAATTAAATTACGTCTTCAAATAAAATGCGTATGGGTTATTATTATTATTTTTAATTGATTGATATTATTATTTCTAATAGTTTCTGATACGCTTTTTTTTTTTTTTTTTTTTGAACCGTTGTACTTAAGTGATCACATGAGATGTTGTGAGCCACTTTGGGCACAATTTTGTGGAAATAAACAGATGATGATGATGATAAGAGTTCAAAGGCACATTTCCAGCCAGGAAGAAACACTCAAGGAGGGTGTGGGGAGCACCAAGGAGAGATTTGGCCTGGTGGGCAGGAGAATTGAAGAGTGCCAGGCAAAGAGGCCTGGTTTCCCTCACCCTGATCTAGAACCCTTGTTCGGAGGAGTCCTGTTGGAACATCTCAGGAGCCTCGAGTTATGCAGTTCACTCCATTTCTCTTGGGACTTTCGGGGCTTGCTCACCGTTTGAGAACGACTTCCGTAGTGCCTGACCCTTCTCCTCCTCCCTGCCACAGCGGACACTGTTATTACCAGATGGTGGTGACGCCAGTGATGGACCAACTACTCCCAGAATCCCCCGGCACCCGGATCCCGCACACGGTCACCCTCGTCTCCATCCCGGCCTGTTCTGATGGCAAGAGGGGCTTCTCCGTCTCCATCGAGGCTCCACATGGAGGCTCAGAGCACCCACACACTGTCCGCGTCAGAGAGTAAGTACAGCCCACCAGGCGTCAGGCTCTTGTCTTGCCCTTGTTCAGGTGATGTGGTTCACCTCAAGGAACTGCCCACACTCAGCCTCTACGGCCTTCTTATTCTGATCGTTCCAGTGAATAATAGCCAACACAACTTGAAATCCACCAAAGCTTCCCATTTCAAACGCAGTTTTAAATTTATCGTGTTTTCCTGTGAAATTTTATAGGCAGCATTTTGAAATTTGCGTGTTCTTAGGCTTCACAGTGCCTGCTGATTTGTTGCGATTCCAGTAGGCTTCAGATGCGAAATCTCATATGCTGTCGGCTCTCAAACTCCAAATTACCATTGCATGTAAAATCCTAAATTACCATTGCATGTCAAATACCAGATTACCATTCCATGCTGTCTTGTCTAATGCATTTGTGTGGCCCTCTCCAGACACTATGGAATTCTGAATAATGTGCTGTTACGAAATTTTGGATACCATGATTTGTCATCTTTCAAATGCCATCAAATATTATCAGGTGTTTTTGGTTAACATGCTTTATTCTTGTGTGTTATTACATGCATATCCCACCATTTCCTTCAAGGAACTCTAGGTGGCACCCATGGTTCTCCTGCTCCCAATTTTATCCTCAGAAGAACCTTGTGAGGTGGATTAGGCTGAGAGACAGTGCCTGGTCCAAAGTCACTCAGTGAGCTTCATTGCTAAGAGGAGATTCAAGCACTGGTTCCCCAGATCCTAGCCTGACATTCTAAGCACTACACTGCGCTTAATATTTGAAATATCCATTGGATGTCAAGTGAAATTGGAGCTCGAGGCTCCAGCAGCGTGTGTGGTTCCCCTGTACATGGTGCTGAGCCAAGAGGGCACAAAATAACAACAACAACAATAATATCACCTTTATTTATATGGGTATCTACTGAGAAGATCAAGGGACGCGGGTGGTGCTGTGGGTTAAACCACAGAGCCTAGGGCTTGCCAATAGGAAGGTTGGCAGTTTGAATCCCCGCGACGGGGTGAGCTCCCATTGCTCAGTCCCTGCTCCTGCCAACCTAGCAGTTCGAAAGCACGTCAAAGTGCAAGTAGATAAATAGGTACCACTCCAGCGGGAAGGTAAACAGCGTTTCTGTGCACTGCTCTGGTTTGCCAGAAGCGGCTTAGTCATGCTGGCCACATGACCCGGAAGCTGTACGCCGGCTCCCTCGGCCAATAAAGCGAGATGAGCGCCACAACCCCAGAGTCGGTCATGACTGGACCTAATGGTCAGGGGTCCCTTTGCCTTTACCTTACTGAGAAGATCCATTAAAAAAAAACTGCACCAAAAGGAATTATTGTGAAAATATGAAATATTTAGAGAGGAGCAAATTTTGTCCTCTCTCAGGGTACCATATTACCAAAGTCCACCCTGGCTCCAGCCTGGTCAATTGTAAATAAGAGATGGATGCATTGTGACATTGTGGGCCTGCTTTTTCCTCCACTATGAATTCTGGAGCCTGGTTTGCTCCTCTGGGACTTGGGTTTGAGGGGGTGCCCCCATATGCCAGCCTGGAATAATAACCCTTTTCTTGCCCCCCTCTCCAACACCCTGGAAACAGATTGAACCCCGACTGCATAAGTCCTGACATGAAGAACTCCATCCACATCGGCGACCGCATCCTGGAGATCAACGGCACCCCGATCCGGCATGTCCCCCTAGACGAGGTGATGTTCTGGGGGGGGGGTTCTTTCTCCTCCATGCTTTTGAGAAAGTAACTGCTGGATCCCATGCCTTTCCGGGAAACATCTGGGCTCCCCATAAGAACATCAGAAGAGGCCCTTGGCCCAGCTAGTCCAGCATCCTGATCTCACCGGGGCCAGTTATCCCTAGGTATCTAGATAGACTGCCTCTGGACCTGGAGGTTCCATGAGAAGAACCTGGCTGGTGGATTCAGGCCCAAAGAAGCCCGTCTAGTCCAGCATCCTGTCTTTGCAGTGGCCAGCCAGATGCCCTAAGGGGAAACCCGAAAGCAGGATTTGAACACCAGAGCCCTCTTCCCTCCTGCCATTTCCAGTAACTGGCATGGAGAAGCATCGCTGTCTCTGACTGTGGAGGCAGAGCAGAGCCATCCTGGCTATCAGCCCTCAGTAGCCCTCTCCTCTTCCATGGATTTGTCTAATCCTCTTTTAAAACCATCTAGGTCCCTAAGGAAGTTAGATTAGCCTCAACCAGAGCCAGGGCCTTTTCAACACTGGCTCCGGCCTGGTGGAACGCTCTGCCTCATGAGACCAGGGCCCTGCAGGATCTGATTTCTTTCCACAGGGCCTGTAAGACAGAGTTCTTCCGCCTGGCCTTTGGCTTGGAGCCAATTCCCTCCCTCTCTTTCTTTTTCCTTTTTCCTTCCTCCTCTTGTGATGAGGCTGCATTTTAATATTCTAATGTTTCAATATTTTAATGTTGCATTTTAATCTTGTTTTTAAGTTGTATCCATTCAACTTGTTTTTATTATTGCTTGTTAGCCGCCTTGGCTGGGGAGGGCGGGGTATAAATAAAAATTATTTATTATTATTATTATTATTATTATTATTATTATTATTAGGTTAGTGGCCATCACTGCCCCCGGTGGCAGGGAGTTCCACAGTTTAACTCTGCACCTTGCAAAGAAGTCGCTTATTCATGCTAACCTGGCCTGCCTTACTGTCTCCCCTCTGCAGATTGACCTTCTGATCCAGGAGACCAGCCGCCTGCTGCAGCTCACCATTGAGCACGACCCGCACGACATGCTGGAGGGCGGTGGCGGCAGCCCCCTCTCGGAGCTGCGAAGCCCCCTCCGCTCCCCCAGCCGCACCCCCTGCCCAGAACCCTCCGCCATCCGCCAGCGCTCCGTCATGTAAGGCAATGAGGCTAAGCAGCCAGCCCTAAATTGGGGGGTTATGCCTGTACCCCACCACTGGAGCAGTGATGGGTCAGGGATAGTGGGAGTTCAGCAAACCTGGGGGGCACCAGGTTGGGGGACGCTGGAGGCAGGATTGTACCTGCTCTTTTTTGCAAAATGTGTACACTGCTTGGTTGTAAAAAAATGCTCAAAACATTTTACAAAGAATATAAAACAATCAAATTATCAACAATAATAGTTTTTTTAAAAAATAATTTTACTTATAAGCTTTTACAAGATATACAAAAAATCAAAAATTTGAAACACCACCAGTCTTTCATATATCTCTTATTTTGGCTCCCGTCTTTCTTCGGTTCCTTATTTTTATGTTGTTTTTATCAACAAGAAGAATTAATAACAAAATAGGACGTTCAAAAAGTTAAAGTAGCAGTAGACTAAGAACAGACTGAAACTCACACCAACTTTCTAAACATCCTGGTCAGCTTGTCTAAGCAAATATATATATATATATATATATATATATATATATATATATATATATATATATATATATATGCTTTTTTATATATATAAAAAATATAATAATATAATATAAAATTAGCAAGCTCTGAAAAGAGTGCAGCAGAGGCCCCTGCCTAACTTCATTAGGCAGACAGTTCCAAAGTTGTAGGCACTGCCAAACTAAAAGATCAAGTGCTTACAAATACGGAATGGTTATGATGTGGCACCTGTAACAGGGCCACTTCCGCTGAGCGAGGCTGTCGAGTGGGCATAAGGCAACCTCACAGGTAAGCTGTTCCTAAAGGGTTAAGGGCTTTGTATACTAATAGTAACGCCATGAAATTGGCCCAGTAGCAAATCAGCAACCAGTGTGGATCTCTGAGCACAGGTGTTACATGTTGGCAAGACCTCGCTACTGTCAGCAATCGTGCTGCAGCATTCTGCACTATCCTCAACTTCCGGATCAGGTGCCAGAAGGCCCCACATAGAGCACATCGTGGTAATCTAGTCTTGGGTAACCAGTGCATGAACTGCAATTCCCATAAACCCTTAACCAGCTGTGTTGTTCAGAAATCTATGAGAAAAAACATGCTTCAAACATGCTCTGAAGGTACAGTGCCAAAGCAGTTGGGTGGGTGCAATTGGGGTGATCTTGCAGGTAAACAGGTCCCACATTTCCCCTTTCAAGAGGGCAGGAGTGACCACTATCGTTCCTCTGTTGTGCCCCTGCTGATGCCCCCTCTCTCTTTCTTGCCTTGATCCTCCTAGGAGAAGCTGCAGCATCGACAAATCCCCCTGCTCCAGTTCCCTGGGCTCCCCTGCCTCGCAGCGGAAGGACATTGGGCGCTCCGAGTCCCTCCGAGTCGTCTCTCGGCTTCACCGCATCTTCCGCCCCTCGGATCTCATCCACGGCGAGGTCTTGGGCAAGGGCTGCTTTGGGCAGGCAATCAAGGTACCAGTGTGCCCGCTCTGCCCTTCCCCAGCTGGGCCTTGCCCATGGCTCAATCACACCAACCCTGGGCAACCCATTGATTCTCCCCTGGCCTCCTCGCTGGCCCAAATAGGACTAATTTAGCCAGCTAGCCCTGGTGATCATATCATGTTAACTGGATGGATTTCCCTCCTAAATTGATGTTGAATTCTGAATTTATTGTTATTCACGTTTTATACTGTATTTTATGCTGTTTTTTGTTGCATCAATTAAGTGTTTTAAATTTGTTGTTAGCCGTCCTGAGCCCGGTTTTCTGAACCGGGAAGGGCGGGGTATAAATAAAAAATTATTATTATTATTATTATTTATTACTGATGATGAACATGCTGTGACATCACTCTGGATGCTCGCACAAGATCTCGTGGAGCCATTTGAGCTCCTGTGAGATCTAGTGTGGGCTTCCCCAGCCTTCCAGATCCCACATGCCGAGCACACCTTGCCCCCCACCCCCCAAGCAAGGCAGAGAGCTTAAAAGCTCTTTTCGTGCTGTTTCCGCTTGGCAGCTACCTGGCACAAAATGAGCTTTTAAGTTGTCTGCCTTGCTGCGGTTGGGCAATGCCCATTCAGTGCTCCAGCTGAACAGAGGAGTCTCCTCCCCCTTCCCCGCTAGCTGTGGGGAGGCTCCAAAGGTTTGGGTATGTATGCACGATTTTTGTGCATTTGTGGAACCCTTGGAACTGAACTCCCGCATGAGATGCGCTAATACTGTTAATGATGTTTTAAAGATTTGAGCTTCCTTTCTGGGCATGAAGAGTGGGCAGGGCTGGATTGAGGTTTGATGAGGTCCTAAGCTACTGAAGGTAATGGGGCCCTTTATATGTCCAGCTGTCCTTTGTCAACAACAAATTGTCGCTGTTTTTTGTGTGTGCTATATGGTGATTTATGGACCTAATAGGTACCTAAAGCCATTCGCACATAACAAATAGGAGCCTACACAACACAAAACACTGTTGCTGTATGTAGGTTTTATTTATTTATTTTAATCTTATATTTTGGAAATGTACATCTAGATTTTTCCCCTTTAAATTTTTTGGGGACCCCCAAGAGAGTGGGGTCCTTTGGCTTGTTTAGCTTATACGTAAATCCGGCACTGAGAGTGGACCACAAAACGTGTAAAGACATAAATGCATCCTTTGGCAGGTGACGCACCGGGAAACGGGAGAAGTGATGGTCATGAAGGAACTGATCCGCTTTGATGAGGAGACCCAAAGAACATTCCTTAAGGAGGTAGATCTAGCCTAAGTATATTCCAGTAGCCGTGGAGTCCCCTCGCAACACCCTGCTCTGTTTTTTCCTTGATAGCTACCATAGAGTCATAGACTCATAGCATTGTCAAGTTGGAAGGGATCCCAAGGTATTCTAGTCCAGCCCCTGCAATGCTGGAATTACAGCTAGAGATCGCTGGCAGATGCCCATCCAACCTCTGTTTTAAAAACCAATGAAGGAGAGTCCGCCACCTTCCAAAATGTCCTTTCCTCTGTCAAACGGCTCTTACACTCAGAAGGTTCTTCTTAAGGTTTTGTCAGAATCTCCTTCCTTGTAACTTGATTCCATTGGTTCAGGTCCTCCCCTCTAGAACAGCAGAAAACAAGCTAGCTCCATCTTCCATCTCTCTCACAGATTGCCTGTATGTTGGCAATCCATGGCTGGTCCTTCCCTTTCAGAATGTTGGAGGGCATCCCTTCTGTGAAGTCACAGAAATACAACCAATTGGAGCCTGTATGTTGGCATTCCATGACTGGCCCTTCCCTTTCAGAATGTTGGAAGGCGTCCCTTCTGTGAAGTCACAGAAATCCAACCAATTGCCTGGAAAAAGCCAGCAACAACCCTAATACAGTCTGAATAAATCTGCTAGGCTGCCCCTCCCCCTTCCCACCCACCCTGACTGCTTCTGGCTCCAGATAAATTCTTGGATAATCTCTGCCGCTCCATCTTGGCCTGGTGGCTGACCCCCTCGTGGTGCTCTTCCGCCCTCCCTCCCCCAGGTGAAAGTGATGCGATGCCTGGAGCACCCGAACGTGCTGCGGTTCATCGGGGTTCTCTACAAGGACAAGCGGCTGAACTTCATCACTGAGTACATCAAGGGAGGGACGCTCCGTGGGATCATCAAGAACATGGTGAGGGCATTGGCAGAGATTACAATCTGGGTGACTCAGGGGCTTGGGAGACCCTCATTTGCACAACACAGGGGTTGTTGTCTTCTGCCTCCGCCATCCCACCCGCCACCAGCTCAAATAAGAAGGTTACAGCCTCACCTAATTTTGCTAAAATATAGTTCCATAGAATTTTAGAGTTGGAAGGGACCCTAAGGATCATCTCGTCCAACCCCCTGCAATGCAGGGATCACGGCTGAATTTGACAAACAGCAGGAGGGGATGCATTCATAACCCACCAAGTGTTTGTGAACTGCCCTGGGGTTTTCTAAATTGAAAGCAGTACATAGAAAATATCATTTATTTCATTTATGGAGCAATCACCGTGAGGCATCCCAAAGCAACTTGCAATATCCTTTGCCATTTACAAGCCCACAATGATTATCCCAACTGCCCGGCTGTCTTTGCTCCTCTGCCCAGAAAGCGGGGTGCCCCCTCACCACCTGCATCTCTGCTTTCAGGATGGTCAGTATCCCTGGAGCCAGAGGGTCAGCTTTGCAAAAGACATTGCTGCAGGGATGGTGAGTATACAGGGGAATCGGCCACCTTCCTGCAATGCAGTGCGACAAGATGCTATGTGAGGTTTGGGAGTGAACAAAGCCATCACAAGATCCTCTGGGGACATATATTTTCCTGGTTTGGACTAGGGCATTCAGAACATAACGGGAGGCATTCCTGGAGCCGTCGGTCCAGAAGAGCTTCACTGTCCAGAGGCAGTGCACCTCTGGGTGCCAAGTGCCTTTAGCAGGGGGGAAGCCAAGAATTAAACATAAAATTGTGATAGAAATAAAAGAAAGAGGGGGCTCTGCCCTGCCAGACCTGCAAATGTATTATGAGGCAGCCTGTTTGTGTTGGTTAAAAGAATGGATTACATTGCATAATGCAGACATCCTGCACTTAGAAGGTTATGACTTAAAATTTGGCTGGCATGCATGTCTTTGGTGTGGGGAGGAGAAAAATTATAAAAGTTTTATGATCCATATTCTTAGGAAGAATCAGTATAGAGTTTGGGAGAAATATAAAAATCTGCTGAAAAGGAAAACGTCTTTAAAGTCTTCTGAAAAGAAGCATGGCAAAAATCTAACTTGTCTCCCCTCCCCTGCCACTTCCAGGCTTATCTGCACTCCATGAACATCATCCACAGAGACCTGAACACACACAACTGTCTGGTGCGGGAGGTGAGTTGTTGCGGTACCAGGTCCAGTGCAGCAGGGAGGGTCTTGCGCTTCCTCTGCCAATGACTGCGGATCTTGAAGCTGCCATGTGGCTGACAAGGGCCATTTCTCTCCCCGGACAGAACAAAAGTGTGGTAGTGGCCGATTTTGGCCTTGCAAGGCTGATGGTCGATGAGAAGAACCAGCTGGCCACTCTGAAGAAGCCAGACCGCAGGAAGAGGTACACGGTGGTGGGGAATCCCTACTGGATGGCTCCAGAAATGATCAACGGTGAGTGGGGCAGAGGGAGGGCGAGTGGGGACATTGCCAGGGCTTCTTTGCTTGGCATTCAGCATCCAGAGCAAAGGAAGGTTCATGGGAACAAGGGAAACTGCCTTACTTTGAGTCAGACCGTTGCTCCATCTTGGTCAGTGTTGTCTACACTGACTGGCAGCAGCTCTCCAGGGTTTCAGGGGGGGCATTCCCAACGCTGTTGGGGGTTGACCCTGGGAGCTTCTACATGCCAAGCAGGTGCAAATAGTCTGATCCCCATGCTTCCACATGCAGGAGGCAGGCTTATGCTGAGTCCAACTATTGGTCCGCCTTGCTCAGTGTTGCATGCACTGACTGGCAGCAGCAGCCCTCCACGGTTTCAGGCTCAGGGGTCTTTCCCAATCCTCCCTGGTGATGTCACTGGGGATGGAACCTTCTGCATGCCACTGAGCTATGGCCCTTCCTGTCAGGGATTGGCTGGATGACGAACAGTGCAGGGGGCGGGGTCTTCGGAGGAGGAACTCCCTAGAGAAGCCACAGAGGAAGAAGGCGCCGACCCAGGGGAGTGGTAGTGGGACACAAGAGGCAGATCAGAGGAGGGAGGAAGCCGGGGGGTGGGAGAAACAGGCAGCTTGGGTGAACAAAGAAAGCCAGAGGCAGGAATCCCTCCAAGGACAGGAAAAGGGACATACATTTTATACTGCATTTTAACCTGTATTTTATTTTATTTTAATTTTTTCTTTATTCAAAGTTATAACAAAACATATTATCCAAAAACATATCCTTATTTTCCCATTAATTTTTCTTTTCTTATTATGTTTTTACTGAAATTTTATTGGTGTTAGCCACCCTGAGCCCAGGGAGGGCAGGGTATAAATAAAAAACTATTATTATTATTATTATTATTATTATTATTATTATTATTATTATTATTATTATTATTATTATTATACTTCAAGCTCAGGGTCGGAATTAGAGTTCAGGGAGGGGCCAGAAACTGCAAGAGCTTCACAGCAGCTGCCCAGTCCCTCTGCCTTGAGCTCCCCTCACCCTTTGATTCCAAGATCACGCAGAGCGTTACACATAGCCAAACAGAAAGCTAGGAAAGCCCAAGGCAAGGGGTTCCCTCCTCCCCAACAGAGTTTGCATCTGCTTGGGAGACGTCCGGAAGAGGAAAGCTAGGAAGAAGAAGAGGCGCAACATTTTCAGTGAGGGCAGCCATGCCAGAGTGACCTCTGTTGTATACAAATTTCCCGAATGAAGCAGCTGACTTGACTTTGAGTCTCCCTCCTGACCTGTTGATAAACCTGCTCCCCTGACAGCCCCCTGACACTTGCCTTGTAAAGTGGGGAGCAGTTGACGGTGCCCTCCCAGGCGACCTCTGTGACCGGGCTGAACAATCCGGTTTGAGCTGCACTTTTGGGGAAGATGTCTCTCACGAGGGTTGTGCCTCTGTGGCTCTGGTGAAATGGCTCTTTCTTTGGCACGGAGGAGCACCAGGGTCTGCAGGCAGCACCATGTGGGCAGAGAAATGGGTTGCTGAGAGAGTGCTTGTAGGTCTGATGCCTGGGTAATGGACTCCCTCTCTCTCCTTGTGCAGGCAGGAGCTACGACGAGAAGGTGGACGTGTTTTCTTTCGGCATCATCCTTTGCGAGGCAAGTAGGCTTGGCTGCACCGGCTGCTACTACCAACTTTCCCAAACCATGCCCATTTTGCCTGCCGATTTAATCACTTGGGATTTCAGCCGTGCACCTTTTTCTCTGAAGCGTGCGTGGCATGGAGAGAGGGAATAGAGAAAAGCTTTTTCCAGTTGACACGTGAACTAATGGACATCCAAGGAAGCTGAATAAGGAAAGGTTCAGGAACTTCAGAAACTATTTGGAAGCCTTGCTGCCTCTGACAGTGGAAGCAGAGCAGAGCCATCTTGGCTAGTGGCCATTGCTAGCCTTCTCCTCCTCCATGAATGTGTCTAGTCCTCTTTTAAAGCCATCCAACTTATGGCCATCACTGCCTCCTGTGGCAGGGAGTTCCACCGTTTAACTAGAAAGGCATTTCTTTTATCTGTTCTGTATATGGCTGCGAGTTCTAGTGTTAGGGTCCTTCTTACGCTGGGCTCTGGGTTCTAATCCTGGATGAGCCCCCGATGCAGGGAGGCACGTCTAACACCTCCTTCCTCTCCATTGCACACAGATCATTGGGAGGGTCAGCGCAGACCCCGACTACCTGCCTCGGACCCTGGACTTCGGCCTGAATGTGAGGGGCTTCTTGGACCGCTACTGCCCCCCCAACTGCCCCCCAAGCTTTTTCCCCATTGCCGTCCGCTGCTGCGATCTGGATCACGAGAAACGGTGAGCGACAAGGATGTATGGGAGGTGGATTTAGTGCTGGAAAGGGGGTCAGGATGTTCTGAGCTGTCCCTTAGGGGTGGGCCCATAGGAACTAATTAGCATATGGTAATTTATAGCTAGCTGTAGGTTCACATTTGGAAATTAAATGTCGCAGGAGGCAGGGCAACCATTTTCCCTGTCCAGATCACCCCTAGAGACATTATTTTGTTCATTTGCACCCGCCAACCCCTATTCCTATTCCCAACAAACCCTAATTAAAGTCCCCTTCAGTTACTCCCATTTGTTATCTCCAGATAAACTCCTGCACTGCCAGGGGTGGGACTGATGATAATTTGGTCCCCTTCCAACTCTAAAGTTTTTTGATTCTGTGATTCTTCTTCAAATCATTTATTTCCGGCACCCCCAACCTTCGGCCCTCCAGATGTTTTGGACTACAGTTCCCATCATCCCTGACCACTGGTCCTGTTAGCTAAGGATCATGGGAGTTGTAGGCCAAAACATCTGGAGGGCCACAGGTTGGGGGTGCCTTTATTTTCTCAGCTCATGACCCATTCACTCCCCACCAACAAATGTATGTACTGACCCAGAAACAATCAGGCCCCTTTGAGAAATATTGGAGGGCTGTGTCTCTTGGGCTCACCCCTTGCAACACCCCTAATCAAATTTTTTTGGGGGGGGCAGTGCCTCCTGGCCCCTCTTGCAACACCCCCTAAACCCACAGGTCCCTGAGATGAATGGGGGGTGGGCTATGTCTCCTGGGCCCTACCCCTTGCAGCACCCCTGCCAGCAGGCTCTTCTTACGATATTGTTGAGCCTCCATGCACAGGAGCAGTCTACCTGCAAGAGCGAATCCTCATGTCCTCCTTGCTCTTCCTCCAGGCCTTCCTTCAGCCGGTTGGAGCAGTGGCTGGAAGCCCTCCGGATGCACCTGGCCATACAGCTGCCCCTCATCTCCCAGCTGGAGCAGCTGGAGCGGGACTTCTGGGAGACGCAGCGGCAGGCTGAGGGCGGGCTCCCCGCGCACCCCGAGGTCTCAGAATGAGCACCGGGGGGCTGGAAGACGCCTCCCATCCTGCTGGGCCATCCTGCAAGCTCCCCGCGTCCGCCCCCTTCCCCCCCCATGCCCGCCAGAGCCGGTCTCTGGGTCCAAAGAGGCCACGTCCATCCGTGGTGCCCTGCGTGGCTGGGAGCTGGTTCTCCCTGCTTCTTTCCCTGGGGGTGGGCTAGGTGGGATCTGTGCCTGGCATGCACAGTTGTCGGAAGGGGCACCTTGAAGCTCTTGTAAATACCCTTGTCTATGGAGAGGCACCTGGACAAAAACCCTGCAAGGGAAAGGGGGGCGCCCCCTTGCCCCACACTGCCCCCAACTTCTGCCTGGCACGCTTTGTGGCTGCGAAAAGTCTTGGAACACCCCACTGAGCACGTTCCTTCCTGTTACCGGCTGGCTATTGCTCCACAAGCTAGCGTTGTGTGTGTGTGGTTTTCTTTTGGGGGTAGAGAATCTCTGGGGTGCCTCATTCCAGCGCCCCGCAAACAGGCTCTCTTCGCTCCCTGCCTTGGGCAGAGTCTCCCACTCCTGCAAAGCGGTGCCTTCAGGTTTTCGTCGTCCCCTGGTTCTCTGCCCGCCCCCTTTCATTTGTTCTCTGTATGTGGGTCACTTTCGCGGGGACGCAGGACTCGCACCTGTGACGCGCAACATTCAAGGCATGGCCTGTGCGCTGCCCGGAGCCCGTGTGGTGTCCGTATCTCTCTGTGCCCAGATGTGTGTGTCTGTCTGTCTGTCCGTACCCCCTTAGACAGTCTCCTTACCCTGCTGGTGGAGGACCTGTTGTCGCCCCTTAGTTGTGGGTATTTGGAGAAGTGCTCTCGGTGTGCATTGTGGGGTGGCATGATGCGCTTGACCCCTCCCCTCCAGCCGCTTGTCTGCTCTGCCTCGCCCTTCCACGCCAAGCTGCTGTTCTGCTGGTAGGGATTCTGTTGTGCTGCGGGGAGTTATTTGTGACATCAGCCCACTCCTCTTTTTCCCACGAAGAGCTTTGGGCGCACAGGCTTGCATCCTCCGGAAATGCTTCCCATGTCTGAGGGGGACCCCCACAGCTTAGGAGTGCAGCAGAGCTGGGCCCGGAGGAGGTAGAACTGGCATCATCGGGCATCTCTTGAGAGCCCACACTCTTGCAAGGGGCCCACTGCTAGGCCTCAAGGCCCCCTGGCCTGCTGCTTCTCCTTTCTTTTAGGAGCACCTTGGGGAAGATGGAGAAGAATCATAGAATTGCAATTTAGCTGTGACTCCTCCCAACTCTACCATTCTAGGAGTCAATAAGCAGCAAAAATAAGCATACAGTGGTACCTTGGTTCTTGAACTTTATCTGTTCCGGGAGTCCATTCGACTACCGAAACTGTTCAAAAACCAAGGCACAGCTTCCAATTGGCTGCAGGAGCTTCCTGCACTCAATCGGAAGCCGCGTCAGACGTTCGGCTTCCGAAAAACGTTCGCAAACACTTACATCCGGGTTTGCGGCATTCAGGAGTCAATTTGTTCAACAACTAAGCCATTTGGGAACCAAGGTACCACTGTACTAGGGAAAATGGCATAAAAAAGCATATTATGAGATTCGGACTAAGATGCTGATGAATTTTAATGAAAAAACTATTTGCAAACTGGCATTGTCACTCGCTGCCACTGGGCTCCACTCGGATCATTCTTGACCCTGTCTGTGTGGACTCCCTTCCATGATTGACCTGACTGGGTCCCTTCCTGCAACATCTGGGAGGAAGGGAAGCTTGGAGAGTGTGGGGCATCAGAGCCAGGGTGACCCAGGACTGTGGCCCCCTCTGCCGTGGGGGTCTCCTTCAAACGAACTGGGAAGTGTTGCATTTCCACGGGGCCCGTGCAGAGTGCTCCCCTTGTGTCCCAAGTCAATCCTGATCTCCCATTTGGGGCTCCTGAGCCCCTTGCTGCTATCTTTGTTCTCTGGACCACTCCACCCCCATTCTGTTGTTTGTAAAGGGGCCTGGGCCAGCCACCTCCAGCCCCGCCCCACCCTACTTTTGCCAGCTAGTGGGGCTGGTCGGATCCTGGCCTCTTGTCTTGCATTGATTTCTCCATGCCACGCCATCCCTCTGGGTGCTTTTAAACTCCCTGGTTGCTGAAGGGTTAGGCCCAGCATCTGAAGGAGTTTTTCCACGCTGGGGGGGGGGGGATCTTCCACACCGCCTTCTGCATTTTGGGGAGGGGTGCTTCTGCGCACTATGTCTGAGGCCCCCTCCTCCCCCCTCCCCCCACTACATTCAGGTTATTTTTTCTGTAACATAGTTGAAGAGAAGAGTTTGTATTATTTTTTCATATACAGCTGCCCTTGGTGCTTTTTTGGAGTTTTGCCATGTTTTCACTCTGCCTCAGTTTCGCCTACGGGGAAGTATTAATTTGGGAAGTCATTGGGTGGGTGGGAAGAAAGAGCACGCAAGATTTTTTTTTTTTTTAAATAGACTGTGAAGCATCTGTACGCACTTTGACCCGGAAGTGAACCTAGATGCCGTCTCCGGAGGGGAGGCGGAGGATTTGCAAAACAGGGATGTGAATTAAATCACGTGGAATTAATAAAAAAGATATTTCCACCCCACACTCCAGTTTCCTGTCGTTTCCTTGGAGGGGAAGGGGGATAGAGGAAGTTGTCATGTACTGACTCAGACCAGTATCAGCTACACTGGCTGGCAGCAGCTGTCCAGGGTTTCAGGCAGGGGACATTCCAGTCCTACAGGGAGATGCTGCTGGAAATTTCACCTGGAACCTTCTGCATTCAAAGCAGGTGGGTGATGGAGCACCCTTGTTTTTGGCTGCTCCGGACCCAAACCAATGGATTCAAATGGCAAGAAAGGAGATTCTGACTTAATCAGGAAGAACTTTCTGACGACGAGAGCTGTTTGACTGTGGAACAGACGGAAGCTGATGGGCCGCTCCTTCATTGGAGGTTTTGAAGCAGAAGTTGGATGGTCATCTGTCAGGGATTCTTTGGCTGTGATTCGTGCATCGCAGGGGGTTGGACTAGATGACCCTTGGGGATCCCTTCCAACTCGACACTTATTGGATTCCATGAAATGCCCTCTGGAGGAGGCCAGGGCTACCTACCCCCAAATGGGAGCTGCATGGAGCAGTACTCTGCAGTGGTGGCATCTGCTCTGCTTCTTGAGTCCCTCCTCCAACCTTCTGGAGTCCAGCCAGCTAAAGGGCACACTTTCTTGTCCATGCGCTGCTGCCAACCTTGTGATGGCACTGCTCAAAACCAGGGGCTTTTTGGAGGGAAGGGGGGGGGGAAGAGTGGCTGTCATGCAGGGCTTCAGAAACTCAGCCTTCCCTGCAAGTGTGTCTCTCACACAATGAGAACATAAGCAAGCAGGTATTTAGAAGCCCCACGGGTATTCAGAAGCACAACTAGTATCCACTGAATACCCCTGTCCCTCCATGAATTTGTCTAATCTGCTTTGAAAGCCTTACAAGTTGGCGGGCATGACAGCTTCCTGCAGTAGTGAGTTCCACAGTTTAACTAGGCACTGCGTGAAGAAGTACTTTCTTTTATGTGTTCTTAGTCATCCAACATTCAGATCCAAGTTTTGGTGTTACAAGAGAGGGAGAGAGATAAATATGGCCCTTGTGGTCTATTCCAACTCTATGATTCTATGATTCTATTTCTCTAAAGTAAAAAACAAACCCAAATACTGCAACCATTCCTCATAGGAGAGTCAACTCCATCCCCTTGATCCTCTTCATTGTCCTATTCTGAACCTTTTCCAATTCTGTGATCTCCTTTCTGAGGTGAGGCGACCAGAACTGCGTGCAGTATTCCGATCACAAACGCGCTGTATATTTGTATATTGGCGTTGTGATATTGCCACAGAGCAATGCAGTCCGCATGCTGACGCCTTACGCTGCATTCAAAGAATCACAGAAACATAGATTTGGAAGGGACCACAAGGGTCATCTAGTCCAACCCCTGCAATGCAGGAATATTCTGCCCAACACGGGGCTCGAACCCACCACCCTGAGAGTCCAATGCTCTACCAACTGAGCTATCGCAGCAGTGCACGGACCTACGCTTCAGACCCAAATCAGGACGAGGCCCCAACAAACTCATGGAAATCAGCTACATTTATTAGCAGGATAAAAAATATTTCGACTGGAGCGATTTGAATGTATAAACCTATAATTTTTGTGTTTTTTACAGCTTTTAAATAAATAAAGCTTTCCTTCTCTTTTCTTGGTACGACCGTGCAAAGATATAGACCCTCTCTTTTTTGGTAAGAAAATAGCAAGTTTTGGAAAATAAAGAAGCAAAACCAGAAACAATCATTCCTCTCCACCCCAACGCAAACCTCCTTCACAGCTCCCCAAAATAAGAGGTTGAGGCAGGGGGAGTTAAGGCATCCTTTGCCAACCTGGTGCCCCCCACCCTAGACGATGTGTGGTGGACTATTTTTCCTCAGAGGTTTTTCAACAGAGGTTGACAGCCAGGGATTCTTTCATTCTGAGATTCTATGCTACAAAGGTGTGAGTTTGTAGATCTGGGGCTGAGGGTCACCTCTCCACAGAAGGTCTGCCATCTCAAAAGCAAATTGCTTTTCCAAAGAGCTTTGTCAATGCTCCACCACTCCAATTGCAATAATAATAATAATAATAATAATAATAATAATAATAATAATAATAATAATAATAATATCTAAAACTGAGTGACTTGGAAAAAGCAGGCATTTTGCCAACATCTCATGCAGAGGAACATGTGGAAATGTAACTTCTCTCTTCCTGGCTGAGGGCGGGAAATAATAATAATTAACAGTAAACCATAATTGACAACAATAATAAATATATCAAACAATAAAGGAATAACAAGAAGGCAGTAAGAAACCTAAGGAGTAAAAAGGGAGTATTTTGAAGCCAAGCTTATGCTAGGGTTGCCAACTTTTCAACCAGCCCCTGCTCTCCTGTGCATTAATAGCAGGTCAATCTGCAGACATGGGACTTGGGTTAGGAGGGAGGATTTTCCTGCCACGCCATGAAAAGCATTAGCTGCCAGTTTGTGCAAATCAAGGTGCTGTTGAAGGCACAGGAGCAGGCTGGGGTGGCTTCTTCCCTGGTTAGTTGGCAACCTGTTCTATTGTGTTTGGTGGCTTGATGCAAAAGCGGCCTAAAATTCAGGGCTGTGGTGGTTGTGAGACACGGCGTCTTACAGGCTTTCCTCGTGCAGAGGCTTCTGCACAAGGTGACCATTGTGACGGTTCTTTGAGCTCTCAGGCAGGGGTTTCGGAGTCCCTGGCTGAATTTGGGCTCAACTCCAGATGTTGCAACAGCCAGTCGTGCAGGCAGCTTAAAACAAAGAGAATTCAGGCATCGCCACCACAGAAACTAGCAGGTATCTCTGATGCGAACAAGGAATAGAGCCTTCACTGCCAGATGAAGCCTATTCCAGATGACCAGATGCTGGTAATATGAGGGGGTCTTTGCATTCCTCTTTTGCCCAGCGTTTTCCTGTAGGGGCCTCTGGCAGAACATGTTCAATGTTCCTTATTCCAACACGAAGTGAGGTTCTGCCAATTCTTTGGCTGCACAGGGGCTCCCGATATTTGGCACCTACAGGTGCCTGGAGCATCCGCCCACCTGCTCAGGTCTCTTCCTTCTCTGTGGCTGATGGAGAGAGAAGAAGCAAAGGTAGGGGTGGCTCATTGATTTAACGTAAAAAAAGGGGGTCTAGATATTTTAGTAGGCCCATCCACACTGAGCTGTGCATGCAGGCTCCAAGCAAGCAGACTTTGTGAGGGCGCGTCCAGACCAGGGTTTGTGCTGCTGCTTCTCCAGATCTTTCCCCATGGAGGCCACTTCTTGAAACAGGAGATCTGCCCCACCTTCCACATGGAATGGGCTTGGATTCCGGCGTCTCTCCGACGGTCCGTTCCGACAACCCCAGGGAGAAGGCTGTGCAGAGGAGCTGGTGGCTTCGACAGCACCTCTCTGCCCCCTGAATCCATCTCTCACCACCAGTCCCTTTTTACACAAGAACAATGAATGTACGGTTTGGAGACGGGGTATTGTGCAGCTTGGCTCGCTGACTTGATCTCTTCAAGCTTAGCATGGCGCATGGATGCTCAGCAGAGATGGGGGTTTGCAGCAGGCTCACAAACACGGCTCCGAGGGATGCCCGCAGCATGCAGAAGCAGCCTCTGAAAAAGGCGTCGCTCAAGTTTATAGACCTCTTGGAAGATTTCTGAGCAAATTAGGCTGCAGAGTAGAGGTTCATACTGCGATTTGGCTGCAGTTCAGGTGTATTTGACTGAGCAAAAAAACACACCCTGATGCTCTCCTAGTTTGCGCCAGAAACCCTTATGACGCGAAGAAGTAAATTTCTCAGGCCAATTGTCCTTAATAAAATTAACTTGCAAAAAAAAAAAAATCTTTTAATTCCGTGTTTTGTTTTGAGCATTTCTCAATTATGGGGGCTGGGAGGGTTGTTGGATTTTTCGCCCCCCCCCAAATAAAACAGGATATAAAATAAATGTATTTCGTATTCATAGGAACAAAGCCACCAAGGAGATCTTGGATGCAAAAAGATATTGAACTCCCATTCGTTTTAATTGGAGACCTTGCACCAGTTGACCCCCACAGTCTTTCAAATTAACTTAACAAAATATTAAGAGGACCAAAAAAAAAGTCAAATTTTAAAACAACCCCATGAGATTGCCTTACCCCATTTATGCCCACTTGACTGCTTCAATCAGCAGAACTGGCACTGTTACAGGTGCCACATAATATACGTTCTGCCCTTTTAAAAACTCCAACTTTTAGCACAGCAATATCTACACTTTGGAACTCCCTGCCTCTTGACATCAGGCAGGCACCTCCACTGTACTCTTTTCGGCTCCTGCTAAAAGCATTCTTGGTTAAGCAAGCCTACCCAGATGTTTAGAAAGCAGGTGCAAGTTTTAATCTGTTTTTAGTCTACATTTACTTTAACTTTCCGAAAGTCTTAAATTATCATTGTCACTTCTTATTGATAATTTCATTGTTCTATCTTTTTGGTAAATCGCTTTGAGGGTGGTTGGGTTTTTTTAACAATCAAGCGGTGTATAAATTTTATGAAATAAATAAAATTTGATCTCTCAAACAGGCAATTTGATAATGCATCTGGGTTTTAAATTTGTAATTTCACCTATAAAGTGTCCCGTCACATGTTTTCAGCAACAGAGAGGGCAGAGGGTGTGTTTGATCAGAGAAATCACTCATATTAAAAAGAAAAAATCTGGTACCTAGCCAGAGAGGAACATGGGCAAAAGCTAAGGTTGTCACGGTGGGATTTGCTGGGCAAATGATCCGAGGACACACACTGCCGTCAGCTAGGAGCGAGAAATCCGTGTTTGCTGAATCCTCCTGCAGCTGGAAAAAGAGGTATTTGAATTGCACATGAATTGCACCCAAATCGCGACGGCTGCCAAAGGGTTCAGGTCAGCAAGAGGCAGAACATTCTCACATGCTGGAGAGTCGCAGGCAGAATCTTTGGCGCCCGGGTGAGCTCTTCGTTCCTTAGGAAATCCGATCTAGAAGCCGGGATGAGTGTTGGTTATAAGGCGATGATCATTGCATCGGATGACCGTTAGCTTAAGGTGCAAGGTGCATCGTCAGGGCCAAGCGCTGGGGAGGGGCAGATGGAGCAGCTGAGATGTAAACATTTTGTGTCGCGAGGAGCAAAGGTGTTTTTGCAGGATCTGAGGGGTCAGAGGCTAGTGGGCATCTTCCATCTGCCGCTGGATTTTCTGCAACATGTCCTGCATTCGGCGTAACTGAAAAAAAGGGGGGGAATCAGACCTGAGAGTTCCTTTTGTTGGGTTGCAAGGCACAAACATTATGCACCGCCCCGCCCCCCTTGATACTGGGCCTGGGTCTTTTAAATTGTGGCTCTGTTCCCTCTGACGTGGATAAGCCACAAGGAAAAAACTCCACCTTGGGATTTAGAGGAAGGCATGTCAATTTATTTTGGTGGTTAGCAAATTCATATATAGGCTGTTCTGAATTTAGGAAATCTCGGAGCGGTTAAATCTGGAATCACTCATACTGTCAAGGGTTTGGCGGGGTCAGTCTGGATGATGCCTTAAGTCCCTTCCAGTTCTTGGGGTCCTGTACCCAGTGAGGGTTGCAATCTAAGGCAGGAGGTTGCTGAACTAGCCGTACAAGTTCGTGACTTTAGGTGGCCACTTAAGTGTCCAGCATCCCAAAAGAATGAGCTCAGTTGAAAGAGCTACCACTAAGTGATGGGGCCCTGCAGGCTAACAGGCCGGACCCACAGGGGCCAAAGGGAAACACGGGGGCCAAAGGGAAACCCTCAACTGGGGCAGCCCTCACCATGAATTTGTGCAATCCTCAAAGTTGGTGGCCCCCACTGCCTCCTGCGGCTGCGAGTTCTTGGTCTGTTTGGGGCACTTCCCAGCCCTACTGGGCTCCCATCTCTTTCACTCTCATCCACAGCTGTCAACGTTTCCCTTTTCTTGCGAGGAACCCTATTCGGAATAAGGGAATTTCCCTTTTAAAAAGGGAAACGTTGACAGCTATGCTCTCATCTGACCTGCAGGTAACCACCATGCCACTCACCTCGTCGTCCTTCTCCCGGATCAGCTTCTCCGTCTCCACATCTGGTGTTGAGGGGATGGCTGGAATGGGGAAATCTGTCCCACTTTCTCTTGTCAATTTGCTATTTATTTATTTAAAAAAAGAGAGAGAGAGAAGCCATCAAGGCTAAAAGCAGCAGAGATGTATTTGCACCCACCACCACCCTGACTCTGTTCAGAGATGCCTAAACAACTGATTCTTCTGCTCCGTCTCCACCCCACACTGAGGTCCTTAAATTTACTCAACTGCCACCCTACAAGGCTGTCACAAAGACATCCAACAGTTAAAATGGAGAGTAACACCTTGGAGGGGGGGGGAGCCCAGCATCAGGCTCTTAGGGAAAGTGTTGCTCTCAAATCGCTCTTCACCCCGCAAAGCTTACCTAAATAAGTAGGACTTTCTGAGCCTCCACAGCGAACCAGAGTGTTGAACCTCCTCTGGGAACTCACTCCAGAGTCTTGGGGCTCTTGCAAAGAAGGACTTTCCTCCTCTGTCGGTCTGCTCCAACAAGGGATGTTCTTAAGGAGCATCTAGAGATACAACAGGTTTTCCCCCACCCAGTTCTGGCTGGGCTACAATGCCCAACATCAGCAGCAGACCTCGGGTCTCTCAAATTCCAGCGGCGTCCTGTGCAATGCCAAAATTCGGCGTCCCTTCGCCATGTGCTCTCCATTCTAAATAATAGTTGTGGCGCCTCCCCCGCCCCCAAAGCGGTTTCGCTCCCCTCAATCCATGTCTGCCATCAGCCCCAGTCAGCATGGCCAATGGTCAGGGATCCTGGTCTGCAAGCCCAGCCAGGTCGCTGAGCACCTGTGAGCCAAGTTGAACTGTGGAACTCGCTCCCACAAGATGTAGCAGTGGCCACCAGCTTGGATGGCTTTAGAAGAGGACTAGGCAGATTCATGGAGGAGGAGGAAGCTATCAATCATGGCTACCAGTTCTCCCTCCACTGGCAGAGGCAGTCTGCCATGGGGAGAGTTGTTGTGGCCAATGTTTAGACAGGATGCTTAACTAGGTGGGTCTTCTTAGGTTCTGCTAGGTGGCTTTCAAAAGATGGAAGTGCAGGATACGTTCTGCTGACAAGGAGCTCACGGTGGGTCTGCAGCTACAGACACCCCATCCTGCTTTTTTCTTTGGTGGGGCAGTCTAAGTCCAAAAAAAGGACTGTCTTCTGCAAAGGACGACACCTGGCTTGGCATTCAGTAGGTCCCAGGTTCAGGCCTCCAAATTGGTTACTCCAAGCAGGGCTGGGAGAGGCTTCCTCTCTGAAAGTCTCTGCAGATGCTGCTGCAAGTCAGTGTAGACAATACTGGATGCATCTGTCTCAATAGAAGCCTTCTATAGGCTTCTATAGCCTCTGGGCTATATTCCCATGGCTTGATAAGTGGCCAAAGGGCAGAGATGTTGTTGCAAAGGCAGATTAGTGGATTTGGAAGAGGGGGATTAATGGGGGATGCAGGCAGATGGTTATATTGTGCACTATACGCTTGTGAAAATATACCATTAATTAATTTAATTTTTTTAATATCAGCAGGGGCTCATGACATTCCCAAGCATATGTGTCCCTCCCATCCAATTTCTCTCCAACTTTTCTACCCCACCCCCAGTCACAAGCTCCTGTGATGGAGAGACGCATCAAAAAGTCAGGGCGCATCCCCAAAGGTACCATCACGCACAATGGTCTTCAGAGAAGCGCTGGTTCTCAGTTCATGTGGGAACCCTGTGCCATGTCAAGCCTGCTGAGAGATGTGTTTCCTGGGTTTTAGATGACCCTTGGGGTGTGTCCCTTCCAACTCTGTCGTTCTGTGAGTCTATGTTCCATCCACAGCCCCCTTCCTACTCCCTCTCGCCTCTGAATGTAGTACCACAATCCAGCTTTGTCCCCGCCCTAAAGGGTTCTCAGGGTAGCAGCAGAAGATATGGGGTGACCCAGAGCACCTTGGCCAACCACCATAAAGGATACTGATGCTATAAGAGGGCCAGTGTGTGCAGTGGTTAGGGAGTCAGACTCGGACCTGGGAGAGACAAGGATTCAAATCCCTACTCGGCCAGAAAGTTCACTGGGTGACCTTGGGCCAGTCTCTGTCTTCTCTCAGACTAGACTGCCTCTCAAGATTGTTGTGCGGATCATATGATGAGGAGGAGAACCATGTACATCACCATGAGCTCCTTGAGGCATAAATGCGATAATGGAAATAAATAAATGCAGTGCTGCTTCGTAGAGTCATCTGGATCTGGTGACAGCCTAGACCAGGCATAGGAAAACTCCGGCCCTCCAGATGTTTTGGAACTACAATTCCCATCATCCCTAGCTAACAAGACCGGTGGTCAGGGATGGTGGGAATTGTAGTCTCAAAACATCTGGAGGGCTGGAGTTTGCCTATGCCTCATCTAGACCCTCTGAACGTTTCAAGGCTGACCTGCAAATTCAGCGCAGTTCCTGATCCCCCAACCAAACTTTCCCATGATCTGGAGAGCAGCCTGGAGAGTAACTGAAGTGGAATGAAGGAAGAACATGGCACATGGCCTTGAGGAATGAGGAGTGGGCCGTGGGCAGCCATCTGCCAAAGATTATTTAGCTGTGATTCCAGGACCGCGGGGGGTTGGGCTAGATGACCCTTGGGGGTCCCTTCCAAGTCTACAATTCTATGATCTTGTTCTGATCCACTCTGTCAAAAGCCAGGTTGTGCAGTGTATCAATGCCCCCCTTCCTCCACACAGCAGACTTAGTGAGGTGGAGGGCACAGGATTCCCCATCTCCCACAAACCTCCCACCCCCCACACCCACCCCACAAAAAATCCTTGTACTATGACTTCTGCAGTTGTCCAGTGATGGCAATACGACACTCAAGAATCTCCTTCGCCAACCCTTGCTGAGTGAGAATCTACTTCAGGGGTGGGAAACCTCCAACCCATGAGCCAAATTGGGCCTAACAAGGGTCCCTGTTTGGCCCACGAGGCCGTTGCCCACAAGCCATGCCCTACATTTAAAGGGCTGTTACGTGATGACTTTTCAGCAGAGTTTGGATGGCCATCTGTCAGGGATTCTTTAGCTTTACCCCTCCCTCAATCCCCCCTCCCCAGCCACAGGCCTTGCTATTTATGCTCACGACAACATCACCCCTTTGCCAGGAGTGTGACACAAGGACGCATGGCCCTTTGGGGTCAAAAGTGTTGTGCCAAACAGGGGGTGCACTCCTCCCCCCCAAAAAAAAACACATTTTGCTTTCCCACAGACACAAGGCAAGGGTCCGAGACAAGGATGGGTTAGAAAGAAAATAATTTATGTAAAAATGCACGGACGCCAGACAAAACACAGGTCTCCAGGAGAGAAAGAGAGAGAGAGAGAGGAGGAGGAGGTTGGTGGCGCAGCCCCAGGGTGGGGGGCGGGTGGGAAACGCCGCACGGATCTTCGGCCGGGAAAAGGGACCTCAGTCGCTCACTCCATAGAACAGTCGCTGCAGCAGAGTCTCAAAGATGAGGAGTCTCTCCTTGGTTCCCCCAAAAGATGGCGGCAAGCAGAACAAGGGAATTGAAACACTAGGCTTAGATTCACCATCAGGGAAACCAAGGCAGAAGGCGGCTGAGACATTGCAGGGGGTTGGGCTAGATGGCCCTTGGGGTCTCTTCTGACTCTACAATTCTATGTTTCCCATTATGTTGGTCTTGCCCCTTGTGGGGGGCTCATGGCTGAAGATGCAAACAGAGGGAGGGGAGTGCGGAATAATACCCCAGACAACCGAAAGGCCAACCCATGGGTTGTGTAGGCAGAGCTTATGATTTGGGTGTGATGCACGTAGAGGCGTACTTAGGGTCCCCTGGGCCCTTGGCAAGGAGTTGTATCAGCAAACCCCATAGGGGGGAAAATACCACTTTACTTCAATTGCCACATTAGAAATTACAGTGGTGCCTCGGTTTTCGAGCGTCTTGGAAGCCAAACGTTTTGGTTTTCGAACGCCAAAAGCCCAGAATTGCTTCCATTTTCAAACATGCCTCAGAAGTCGAATAGCTTATGCCGTGTGTTTTTCAATTTTTCCAATTGAACTTGCAGCCAGCCCTTTGTGCCTCAGTTTTCAAATGTTTCAGAAGCTGGACGGTCTTCCGGAACGGAATACGTTCAAGAACTGAGGTACCACTGTACTACATTTTTACACAGCCCAAGTACTCTAAGCGTGCAGAGTAAGGGCAGGGCAGAAGGGAGGCGAAAATTGCATGCCTTCATGCCACAGTGCAAGATGGATGAGAAGCTTCTCCTGGAAATGATCTCGCTGTGACAGCGATGGGTGTGTGGCCACACATGCCACACACTCCCTAGTCTGGTAGGTGATTTTTGCCACCCCCCACTTGTTTGGTCTACGTCCCTGGCAGGGTCTGGCTTCGCCAACCCCTAGGTACACCTCTCTCTGTGGTGTGTGTGTGTTCCCCTGTCCTTTGGCCGAGTGACAGGAATTCCAACTCCAGGGAGCAAAAGGGCAGTCATGGAATGTTGGCAAACTGCAACTCTTGGGGAGAAAGCGAGAGGTCAGTTTAGATGGGGATCGAATGCAAGCAGAACACGGTTGGCTGGAATGGGGCAGAAGAGGAAGGCGGCTAAGAGCAGAGGAGATCCAGAACGGGGTAAGAAGCTAGCAGCCTGGGGAAAGGAAAAGGGTCGTGGCCTAAGAAGCGTGGAGATCAGGGAATCACGGGAGGACGGGGCAAGATCTGAGAGAAAGAGGGATGTGGAAAAGAAGGCATTAAGGAGCTGAGGGAGGACTTGGGTAGCAGCAAGGCAGGTGGGCCGTACATGCTTCTAGGATGGAAGGAGAGGGTGGGCATATGAGCTTCAGAGACCAACAGGCTACAGACCAAAGAGGCAGAGAAAGCCACTAGGGGGAGCTGGAATTCAATCTACCGGTTGGAATTAACCAAAGCAAACTCATGCTGGGGAGTCCCTGGGATGACCACCTCCAACCTGGAACCACCCAGATGTTCTGGACTAAAACTCACGCAGCACATAGCCTGTGGAACTCCCTCCCACAGGAGGCAGTGATGGCCACCAACCATGATGGCTTTAAGAGAGGGTTAGACAAATGAATGGAGGAGAAAAGAGCTACTGAAGGCTACTAGTCACAATGACTGTGCTCTGCCTTCAGTGATGCTTCTGAATACTCCCATAAAAAAAACATCTGGAGGGAAACAGCTTAGCAGGGGCTGCCCTAGTGGAATGGTTACTGATCCCTCCTTCTTATGGAGGGAGACCTCTCTACCCTTGATCACTTTTAGGGTACTCAACCTGAGGACAGGGCCTGTTATTGTGGTTGATCTCTTATCTAGTTAGTTCATAAGATTTATAGATCCCTTGATTGCAAAACAAAGCAAGACATCACACCCGGTTTACAGAAAGAATTAAAACAATAAAACCATCAGCGGTTAAAAAGAGCTATTGAAAAATAATTAAAATCAACAATAAGCTGAAAACCAGAATAAAGCACACATCAATGTTCTGCGCGCCTGGGTAGGCTTGCCTAAACGGGGATGTCTTTAGCAGGCCACCAGAAAGAGTACAGCAAAAGCACCAGCCTAAGTCAAGAGGCAGGGAGTTCCAAAGTGCGGAACAGGAATTATATGCTATTTCCGCAAAACTAAGCAATCAAGTGGGTGTATAAGGGGTAAGGTGATCCTGCAAGTAAACTGGTCCCACGTTGTTGGGTTTGTTTGTTTGCTGTTGTTGTTGTTTTTGTAATCCTTTAAGAGAAAAGGGGTGGGGAGCAGGCAGTTTCTTAAAAAAAATAATGCTCCAAATAAACCAATGTATTTCAATTGTGAATAATTTATTTAAGTTGCAAAATGGTGGCCTGTTGTGGTTTTAATAAACTCAAGTCCTGCTTTGGGGGGCGGGGGCTAAAACAATAGTTTTTTCTGGGGTTTTTTAATAAAAAAAAGAAGAGATAATGATCTTGGAATCGTAGGCAGCGCTAACCTTCCTGCAGAATCCTTCTCTCTCTCTGTCTTACACCCTCGCCCCAGCTGGGGGCACTGTCCATCTCTCCGCCTGATGCCTGTTATTAGGGTGGAGGGAGGGGGCAAGAGCAGGTTATTGAGGTCGGGGAGAGGGAGTCGTGCTCCATCCCAGAGGGGGGGCATATCCTCCCCACTCCCTGATCCCGCCAGCCCCAGATAACACATGCAAGCACACACAGGCTAACGGCTTACTTGCGATTCCGCTCTTTGACCACCATCCTGGTCATGCTCTGGATGCACTGCGCCCGGTAGTTCTCGTAGTGGGTCTCCCGCGTCACGTCCTTCAGGTCCTGCATGTGGGTCCTCACCAGCATGGTCCGCAGCTTGACAAAGTCGCAGTGCAGAGGGTTCTCCACTGTGCGGGAGAAGGCAGCATTAGCGGGCGGAACTCCCCACCACGACATGGTAACGGTGCAAATGAAGACGCCTTTAAAAGTGTGTTGGGGGGGGGATTGTACAAATTCATGGAGGATAGAGAAGTCCTGGAAGCCGCAGGAGGGGAGAGGGCTCTTGTGTTTGAATCCTGCTTGCGGGTTTCTCACAAAGGCATCTGGTCAGCCACTGTAAGAACAGGGTGCTGGGACCCATGCTGGACCCAGGAGGGCTTTTCTTATACAGTGGTACCTCGGGTTACATACGCTTCAGGTTACAGGCTCCACTAACCCAGAAATAGTACCTTGGGTTAAGAACGTTGCTTCAGGATGAGAACAGAAATCATGTGCTGGCAGCATGGCAGCAGCAAGAGGCCCCATTAGTTAAAGTGGTGCTTCAGGTTAAGAACAGTTTCAGGTTAAGAACAGACCTCTGGAACAAATTAAGTACAGTGGTACCTCAGGTTAAGTACTTAATTCGTTCCGGAGGTCCGTAATTAACCTGAAACTGTTCTTAACCTGAAGCACCACTTTAGCTAATGGGGCCTCCCACTGCCACCGCACCGCGCCTCACGATTTCTGTTCTCATCCTGAAGCAAAGTTCTTAACCTGAAGCACTATTTCTGGGTTAGCGGAGTCTGTAACCTGAAGTGTATGTAACCTGAAGTGTATGTAACCCGAGGTACCACTGTACATAACCAGAGGTACCACTGTATTCCAGCTTCCAGATCCAATTGCTCAGGGCCAGAGCAGGCATTATAAAAGGACATGGTGTGGTGTCATATCATTCAAAGCCCACCCACCTCAACCCACCATTGCCACTCTTCTTTATTGGCTGATACTTGGGGAGGGAGGGAGAGATAGAGGGGGGGACATCAGGTCACATGCCTTTTTCCCCTGGATGTTACCAGAGAGATGCAAGGAGATGGTTCGAGGCTATTCCTTTCTCTGCACACAAGCCGTGCATTCCTCTGAACACCTGTAGTTCAGCACTCAGGAAGGAGGGGGAGAGGACAAATACTTTCTGGGACTTCTACCCCACTGTTTGCAAAGGTAAGACACCCCACTGCCAAAATTAATTATTTCAAGCCCCTGTAACTGGTCATAAATTCAGTCCGTGATCAGTTTTGGGCTGGCTTTGCTCTGCTTCCTGCATGATCCCGCTAAGCAATTTCTTGTTGCTGCTGTTGTTGTTACTACAATTAGTGCTACAAAAATTTCTATACTGCCCTTCATCCGAAGATCACAGGGCCATTTACAATAAAAACACAAAAATGCACACCATAATAACAAACTATAACAATAACCGCCCACCAACAGTTTAACAGGCTAACTAAACAAAGGGATGAGAGGGATGTTTTTGCCTGGTGCCTAAAGATATGTAATGAAGGCCAGCCTCCCAGGGGAGAACATTCCATGAGTGGGGAGCCACCACAGAAAAGGCCTGTTCTCGTGTTGCCACCCTCTGGACCTGTTATGGAGGAGGCACATGAATAAAGGCCTCAGATGAAGAAGCTCAAGGTGGCAAACATGGTTCACCTCCTTCACATTTTATCCTCACCTCAACCCTGTGAGGTGGGTTAGACTGAGAGTAAGTGACTGGCCCAAGATCACTCCATTGTCGTGGGGATTTGAACCCTGGGCTCTCCCAGGTCCTAGTCAAACACTCTAATCAATACATCACACTGCCTCTCTTGAGACCAAGCTCTGGCCTAGTTTGGGCATCATGGAAAGTCAAATGTTTGAGTGATTGAGTGATTGAGTGAGTGATTGATTGATTGATTGATTGATTGATTGATTGATTGACTGCATTCATATCTCACCTTTTCCTGAAAGGAGCTCAAGGTGACAGACATACTTTTCCTCCCCCCCTCCCCATTTTCTCCCTACAACAACCCTGAGAGGTAGGTTAGACTGAGAGGCAGTGGCTGAGCTCAAGGTCGCCTAGTGAGATTCATGGCTGAGTGGTGGGGATTTGGTCTCCCAGGTCCTAGACCGACACTCTAACCACTATGCCATGCTACCTCCTGCCTCCAAATTTGAGATGAGTGGCTTTCCTTGCCGGCACAGCAGAACCAGCACAATCTAGGAAGGGCTCTGTTGGTTACCTTCCACGATGCCCCACGGATACAGCCTCCCACGGATCCGCCGGCCTTTCGTCTCCACCACCGTGTTGCTCCCAATGACGGCGAAAGGGATGCTCTCCTGGAAGAGAACCTCATGGTCAGGGGCCTCATAGCATTGCAAAGAACACAAGTGGCTGTTTGCAAAATATTAGGAGCACAGAAACAGGGAAGGGATGGCTCAGGAGGTTTCTGGCCTGTGTCACTTTGAAAAGCATTCATTTGTAAATCTGCTTCATCCATGTTTAAAAAAAATATATATTTATATTCCACCTTTAAGGAGTTCAAAGTAGCATATATGAGTCTCCTCCCCCTCCTCATTTAATCTACACAACAACCCTGTGAGGTTGGTTAATCTGAGAGGCAGTGACTGGCCCAAAGTCACCCAGTGAGCTTCAGGGTTGAGTGGGATTCAAACCCTGCTCTCTCAGGTCCTAGTCCAACACTCTAACCGCTACACCACCCGTGGCTCTCCATTTCCACCTTAACGGAATGTTAAGTGGTCATGGGGTGTAGCTCAGTGGCAGAGCATCTGCTTGGTGTGCAGAAGGTCTCAGGTTCAATCCCCGGTGGCATCTACAGGTAAGGCTGAAACCTGAAACCCTGGAGTAGCTGCTGCCAGTCTGTGCAAAGAATACTGAGCTAGATGGGCCAGTGGTTTAACGCCATATAAAGCTGAATTCCAATGTTCTTACATTTACACACACACACACACACACACACACACACACACGTATAATGTTCAGTATTTAAACAGGCATTTCAACACATATTTTTTCACAAAATATATCCTCCCCCTCACCTTGAGGGCTTGATCCTGAAGCTTGAAATCCTCATCTTCATCCGAATCACATTCAGGAAACTGGTAGATGCGGATCCCAAACTGATCAATTTCATCGCGGATCTGAAGAAGAGGAACTTAAAATTTATACACAGCTCAATTGTAAACAGCAAATAAACTTCAAAGCACTTTACGGAAAAAAAAAGATTTTAAAAAATTTAAATTGCCAATAAGAAAAACTAGCAACAACCATCTAAGACATTCGAAAAGTTAAAATAACCATAGACTCTAAAAGCAGATTAAAACTCGCTTCAGCTTTCTAAACGTTTTGGTGGACTTGTCTAAACAAAAATGTTTTAGCAGGTGCCGAAAAGAGGGCAGTGAAGGCGCTTTGCCTGATATCAAGAGGCAGGGAGTTCCAAAGTGTAAGTGCCATACAACTAGATCCGGGTTCTAACAAATGCAGAACGAGTATTACGTGGCATCTGTTCCACCAACTGAGTGGGTGTGCATGGGCTAAACAAATCCCTAGAATCCTAGAACTGTAGAGTTGGAAGGAACCCGAAGGGTGATCTAGTACCCACTGCATCTGGTTGGCCACTGTGAGAACAGGTTGCTGGAGCAGATGGACTTCCTTTGGCCCAATAGTAGCCACGAGGCTCTCCAGATGCTCCTCTGGCTGGCGTGAGAGGATCTCAGGTCACAGCAGATATCCTGGGACAAAGGCGCTTCTCCTGAACTTCCCACCGCCCGGGAAAGTAGGCAGGGCCACCAGGAAAAAGGTTTTTAAATATACTTTTAACAAAAAACCAGAGTGTTTTTGATAGGTATAATTGGAGACGAAATACCTAAAAAAGATGCAAATTTATTTATGCATGCTACAACGGCAGCAAGGATACTTTTGGCCCAGAAATGGAATCAGCAGGAACTTCCAACATTGGAAGAATGGCAGACTAAGATGATGGAATATGCAGAATTGGCAAAGCTGGAGGGGAAGATCCGAAATCAGTGCGACAAACTTTTTGAAAAGGACTGGAGTAAATTTATACAATATATGAAAGAAAACTGTAAACGTTTGTAGGTTTGAGTTGAAATATTTTGTAATGTTAATACTGGGACCTGGTTTACATTTAATGAGGTAAATTTTATTAAGAAAGAAAGAAGATAAATAAGTGGTGATAGAAATGCTAAGATGTGATTATTTATGAAAGCCAGAGAGTGGGATGGGGGAAAGTCGAAGCTCAGTTTGAGCATTGTTTTTTGGTTATGAGATTATGTAATGGAATGTGATTATGGTAAAATGTAAACTCAATGAAAATTATTATTTAAAAAAAGGAAGGTCCTCATCTCCCCTCCCCGCTCCCAGTTCCTCACCTTGTTCTTCATCCGCTCAACCTCGGAAGGCATGAGAGTGTCCGCTTTGGCTAGAACGGGAACGATGTTGACCCGCTGGTGGAGAGCCTTCATGAACTCGACATCCAGCGGCCGCAGCCTGCCAAGGAGAGACAGCGCAAGTCTCAAGTGTACAGCGCACACACACACACACACTGTTTGGGGAAGACTCAGTGGCAGAGCAACATGCAGAACATCCCAGATTCATTCCCCAATGGTTTGGAGACACTCCTGCCTGAATCCCTGGAGAGCTGCTGCCAGTCAGTGTAGACAAAACTGAACAAGAGGAGCCAATGGTCTGACTAGCATAAGGCAGTTTCCTAATTAATCCAGCTCTCTCTTCTTAACCATAAGGACTAGAATCTTTGTTTTTAGGGGAAGGTCTGCAGCTCAGTGGTAGAGCTTGGGAGACAGACCCCTGCCTGATAATCCTGGAGAGCTGCTGCCAGTTAGTGTAGACAGCACTGAGCAAGACAAGCCAATGGTCAGACTCAGTATAAAGCAACTTCCTGTGGCCCTAGGCTTAGGTTCTGTTTAGCTTTTTTATTGTGGTTTATAAAAATTTCAAAACACAGTAAGGAAAACTTCAAAATTGTATTTTCTTTGCTGCATAATGAGCCCAGGTCCAAGATGCATACTGAGGCCTTAGCTGATTGTTTTGCAACATCAACAAGTTTTGTCTTTCTATTCAAATTATTTCATTGAATCGTAGAATTGTGAAGCTGGAAGGGACCCCAAGGTTCATCTAGTCCAACCCCTCATGGCTTGGACGTTTTGCAACAATTTGGGACAGATCCGTCAGTTTCAGCTTCTCATCTGCCCAATTTTTAGTTGAGTGCTGTAATCATCCCATGCCCCTCCCAGAGCCCAGGCAGGCCAGACTCAGCTCATACCCGTGGCCAAAGGGCGAGATGAAGTAGAGGCAGCAGTGGACGCGGTTGTCCAGGATGTTCTTTCGGTTCAGGCCGCTCTCATCCCGGAAGTACTGTTCAAACTGCTGGTCTACATAGTCAGCCACCGGCTTCCAGCTGCAGAGGGAATTGGGCAGGCTTTAGAGAGCAAAGAGTCCCCAACGTGGTGCCCACGGGCACTAGCGTGCCCTCCAGCGTTTCCCATGGTGCCCACAAAAGGTCTGAGTAAATATCCTGAGTTCCCCCAGCCCTGTACCTAATCAGAGTCTAGGCAAGTCATCTGCCATGGCTTTTGTATTTATTTGTTTCTTTGTTTGCTTACTTGCTTCTCTACTGTTATTATAATCATATTTTTGTCTGTTTTTACCATAGCAACTCAAAGCGGCTTACAACTATTTTAAACAAACCAACACAAGCAGACATTAAAAGCAACATTAAAAAAACCCTAAAAGACAACTGTGTTCTGAAAAATTAGATTAAAACATTTCGCCCGAACGAAAAGGCCTTGGATAACTGAAAGCCAAAGACCTGGTGAAAAAGGAAAGCTTTGTATTTCCTATTTTATATTTATATTCATAATTTAGATTTATATCCCACCTTTTTCTTTCCAATGAACTCAAGCTGGGGTACATTACTCTCCCTCGCTCCTCATTTAATCCCCACAACAACCCTATGAGGTTGGTTAGGTTGAGAGGCAGGGGCTGGGCCTTCAAGGTCACCAAATGAGTTTCAAGGCCAAATGGGGATTTGAACCCTGGTCTCCCAGGTCCAATTCCGACACTCTAACCAGTACACTATGCTGGCTCCCTTGTCTTCTGTAGTTTCCTATCCTGAGTAATGGGGAGGACTAGGGTGGCAGCCATTTTTTAGAAAGATTGCCAAAATCTGCACTTCCAACAAGGGTTGTCTTTAGTCCAGATTTTCCCGGACAGTTTTGTGATTTTTGCCCGGACGCAATTTCCGAATTTCACAGGGCTGCCTGTGAAGATGGTTCATAAACTTCAGCTAGTGCAGAATTTGGGCAGATTACACCGATCCTGGTCCAACTGCACTGTCTACCAATTAGCTCCAGGCCCAATTCAAAGTGCTGGTTTTGACCTATAAAGCCTTAATCAGCTAAGGACCGCAATACCTCAAGGCCTCTTTCCAGATGAACCCACCCGGACCCTGAGATCATCTTCTGAGGCCCTTCTTCATGTGCCTCCTCCGCGAGAGGTTTGGAGGGAGGCAACATGAGAACGGGCCTTCTCTGCAATGGCTCCCTATTCGTGGGATGCTCTCCCCAGGAAGGTTCAAGTTTAGGCACCAGACAAAAATGTGTCGTCCAATGCCCTTTTAAAATGTGTTGGGGAGGGGAGTTTATTGGGGTTTTTTTAAAAAAATAATGGTGTCTTTTGTGTTTTTATATTGTGATTTTATGTTGTGACCACCCTGAGACTTGTGGGTATAGGGCAGTATACAGTTCGTGGCAACTCTGGGTTGCGGGCTCATCCACTTTATTGGCCGAGGGGAGCCGGCGTACAGCTTCTGGGTCATGTGGCAGCATGACTAAGCTGTTCTGGCGACCAGAGCAGCGGACGGGGAACGCCGTTTTACCTTCCTGCCCGGGAGCAATTACTATTTATCTACTTGCGCTTTTGCGTGCTTTCGAACTGCTAGGTTGGCAGGACCAGGGATCGAGCAATAGGAGCTCATTTCGTCACAGGATTCGAACTTGAACACGACCTTTTCTGATCGGCAAGTCCTAGGCTCTGTGGTTTACCACAGCGCACCCGCTCCCCTAGTTAGTTAGTTAGCTAATAATAATAATACAGTTGTTTACCTTAGGAAGTCAACAGATCATTCCAGAAGTCCCGCTCGAAATTCCAAAAGTGTTTGGAAACCAAAGCGTGGCTTCTAGATTGGCGGCAGAAGCTCCTGCAGCCAATCGGAAGTGCGGAAGCCATCGGACGTTTGGTTCAAAACATTTGCACAAACCGGAACACTCACTTCCAGGTTTGCAGCATTCAGGAGCCCAAAACATCCGAGCTAAGGTTCAGGATCCAAGGTACGACTGTAATAATAATCTCCCCTAGATGAACCCATTTCGCTGGCAGATCAAGCACTGCAGCTCTCGCCTGGATCTGCTCCATGGATTTTACCTGCCTCACAGCCAGTTAGACTTTGTCTTCCACATATTATTTTTATCCCCTCCTTGGCCCCACCCAAAGGGTCAATGGCTTAATGGGATTCCCTCCAAGCAGCTCTGCTGAGAAGCTGCCAGAGCTAATTCCTCTCTGCTTCTCTGCTGCCCCCCAACCCCCTTGGAGGTGGCCGTACCACTCTGTGTTGTTCAAGGCATCTCCAAAGCCTGGCGTGTCCACGATGGTCAGGCGCAGTTTGACGCCCTTCTCCTCGATGTCCACCACATGCTTGGTGATCTCCACTGTCTGGAGGATCCGTTCTGGCCGTGGGGAAGATGGAAAGAAGGAGTTCAGAATGTGGGGGGGGGAGTTGAGGAGGAGGAGCAGGGGGCCTAGAGGGAGTAGGAGAGGATACCTCACCCTCAAACCCTGAGAATCCCTCTCTGCCAAGAACATAACCAACAAATCAGGGCAAGATGCGTCCAACCAGGTCAACGTTCTGGGTATAAGAAGCAGTGGCCGTTCCATCCTCTTCACGGCTTTATTACCAGCATCTAAGTATTGGAGGTAGACTATTCCTAAACATGGAGGGTTTCTTTAACTGCTACAGATAGCAGCCGCTGGCTGGCATGACCCCCATGAGAACTGCCTTGCAGGCGTCTGCTGAGCCCAGAAAGGCCTGCATCTTAGGGTTAGAGTGCCTGCTTTGCATCTAGAAGTTCCCAGGTTGCATCCTAGGTAGGGCTGGGAGTGCGTCCTGCATGACACCCTGCTGCTGCCAGTCAGTGACAACAATACTGAGATAGGTGGCTCCATGGTCTAGCTTGATATATGTTGCTATGTCTTAAGGGAAAAGCCATAGCTCAGTGGCAGAATATTTGCTTGGCATGCAGGAGGTCCCAGCTTCCACTCCCACTGGCATCCTCCAGGTAAGTCTGGGAGAGATTTCCTGCCTGAAACCCTGGAGAGCTGCTGCCAGTCAGTGCAGACAATACAGACCCAATAGCCTGACTTGGTAGAAGGCATTTTCCTATTTCATTGGGAGCCAGCCAGATTCCCCTGTGCGACCTGAGAGCAACATCCCCACCTGCTCCCCCAGTGTCAGAACAGGGGCAAAGGCTGGTCCAGAACTCCCACTGACCGACCGACCTACCTTCGGCATTTAAGAGTTTGCGGTCTTTGTACAAGTCTGTGAGGAAAAGGCTGTTCACCAGGGTGGACTTCCCAAGCCCGGCCTCTCCTGCAAAGAGAAAGTGGAGAGGGAGCAAGCAAGATCACTCAACAGGAAGGTGGATCCTTAGAATCAGACTTTGGGGAAGAAAAGGAAAAGTGCAGACCAATGATAGCTTTTTAAATAAAGAGAACAAGCTTAGGCCATGTTCAAGGTGGTACTATTTAATATTAAAAACTTGGGACCAGTTTACATTTGAGGTCGCCTTATCCCGTATGCGCCCACTTGACTGCTTTGATCTGGCCCTGTTACAAGTGCCACATAATAATCTTCCTCATTTGTATGAACCTGGTCATTTGGTGTGGCAGAATCTACACTTTGGAACTCCCTGCCTATTGAGATCAGACAGGCGCCTTCGCCATACTCTTTTCAACGCCTGCTAAATACATTGGATATCCACAAGTTCTAGTGTCATGGGGGGATGACCTTTCTCTATTCTCTTTTCTCATGCCATGCCTAATTCCACACACTTCCATCATGTCTCCTTCTACTCACTTTCCCTCTCACCTTAAAAGCCCATTTCCTCATAAGGGAGTTACTAGTGTGGATGACTATGAGGGAAAAGGTTCAGGCATCCACCCTGGGGTGGCAGCTTTGCCCTCTGATGTGCCACCACCCTCTGCCGGCTGCAATTTCCATCCTGATCCGGTATTGGTCAGAACGCAATCCCCAGAAGGTCTGTGAACCATCCAAAAGTGTGTTGGAAGTGCTCCTAAACGTACGGCTTCAACATAAGTTGGAAGAGAGCTAGAAACTTGATAGCCTGTATTAATCAGAATTCATTGTTGTGCATTTCACTGGCTCTACCTTGAAATATTCATGTGTAATTGAGAAGACGGGAAGTGGGAACAGCTCCCCCCCCCTCAAGTGTCCTGGTACCTGCAACCATGAGGGTGAAATCGAAGCCTTTCTTCACAGACTTCCGGTGGACTTGATTGGGGAGCGTGGCAAAACCCACATACTCTTTGTCGTCCTGGAGGGAGGGAGAGAAGGAAGGAAGGAAGGAAGGAAGGAAGGAAGGAAGGAAGGAAGGGGAAATGTGTGGTTAGAAGAATCTCAGAATTCCAAACAGCTGGAGCAAGTAAGTCCAAACCACTTATTCATATACTTGTTGTTATTTACAACCCTGTCCTTGAGAGGCCTGGCCTGGTAAAAGGTTTGAAAGACCCTGCAACAAAAATCATATGCTATATATTGCCTAAGAGAGAAACACCACCTAACTGTACAGTCCTACACGCATCCACTCTGAAGAAAATCCCATGGAGTTCAATGTGTGCTGGGTATGCTCCACATGCTATATTTCTACCATCTCCAGCGAGGTCCTCCCAGAGATCGCCCGTGAGATTTATCAGTTTATTTAGAACACTTCTTAGCCACCCTTCAGCCAAAGCTTCCGCCAAGGCAGGGTGGGCAAAAGTGTGAAGGAGATGAATTCGCAGGATGGTTGAAAAACACGTTAACATAACAAATGACAGGAAGGCAAAAGAACGCATATGCCACACCCATGAAAGCTAAGAGCCTGCCATTTTAAGAAATCTAAACTGGGTTGAGGAACCTGCACTCAGAAGACGGGGCAAGCTTGTTTTCTGCCACTCCAGAGGGCAGGACCCATACAACCATACTCAAATGACAAGAAGATTCTGACTAAACATTAGGAAGGGCAAGAGCTGATCGGCACTGGGATGGACTACCAGGGAAGGTGGAAGACTCTCGTTTGTTGGAGCTTTTTAAAGAGAGGTTGGCCATCTACTGGGGATTCCTGCATTGCAGAGGGTTGGTCTGGATAACCCTTAGGGGTCCCTTCCAATTCCACGGTTCTATGAACCTCAGGCGATGAGGCCAAATATGCCCACCTCAACGCCAAGAAGTTTGGAGCTGGTTGTGTATTTGAAGCTTGAGAGAAGGAAAGCCAAAGTGAGATCTGGGGGGGGGGAGGTTTGCCATACCTCATCAGACTCATAGGGGTCCAGCCTGCCCCAGGGGCTTCTGGGACGGGACGGGCTGGGGGGCGTTGGAGCGGCCATGTGCTGCTTCAGATCCAGAGGCCGCGGGCGGTGGAAGCCCTTCTGCTCCTTCTCCTCTGAGGCCTCATCGGGGAGGGTCCTGAGCGCCGCACTGGGGAACATCTCGGGCTCTGCGCCGCCACCGCGGCCCCTGTCCTTCCAGGCCTCTCCCGGCTCCACACGGCGGAAGCCCTCCTCAGCCGGGTAGTCGTTGAGGAAATGGACCAGCTCGGCCTCCTCCGAGTCTTCCTTCAAGAGGTGCTTTATCTGAAGCAGCAGAGGAAGAGAACAGGAAATGCACTTAAACACAGGGTTTAAAACGGGGGTCCATCATGGGAGTAAAATTTGGGGGTCACAACCCTTAAAACCTGCTTCCAGTTTTCTGAGGTTAAAGAACCACACAGGTGGTATCGCCCTCCTTTGCAAATGTCCTTCCAAAACAGGTAATTGTTGGATGGGTTGCGATAAACATGGTACATATTTATTGTGGGAATATAAGTTGGCACAAGATTTTTGGAATTTAATTTTGACAGAAATGATTAATATTACTATAGAGACTATAGGTTTGTTGTCCATAATCAATGTTACTGAATATTTTTGTTGATAGCAATGTACATATATAGTCAAAAGAACTGGTATTATAGATGATCTTGGCAGCTCAAATAGTTATGGCAGCACAATGGAAAACAGTCCAAAATCTTACACTGGACACTTGGTATAACTCTGGAATACATCTAGAATGGAGAAAATTATGTATAATTTGATATTTCAACAAGGACCAGAACCTCAAGGCACTTTTTAATATGATTTAGCATTCCTTTGTTATGCATCAAAGCCATCAATTTCAGGGCAAATCTAGCTTGAAATCACAAGCCTGGCAAATCTGGAACTATGCTTGATAATCAGAGAATGCTAATATTTTTTTCTTGGATTTGGCTATTTTAACCCATGTGCAACTGTACTCATTCTATGCGCCTATTTTATAGTTTTGTTTTCCATCTTTTGCTTTTCATCTCTTGTTATAACAGTTCTCTCAATTTTATGTACATTATTAAATGAAACAAACAAACTTTATAAAAGAAAAAAATGCGATCTATTTATTTTCCTGATCTTGGTGCAATGAACTTTCTTCAAACTTTCTTTCCAGCAAGGGCCGGCTCTAATGTTAGGGAGAGGGAAGTGGCTGCCTCAGGCGGCAAAATGTGATGAGGTGGCAGTGAGGTCTGCAGGACGAGGCACCACTTGCCCTGCCAAATACTCCCCTGAGCTAGCATTGCACTCCCTGGTGTGGACGACGACACTGCCTGGTCACTATTGTTGAAGTCAGATACAACTATCAGTCACATTACCTACAGCAAAATGTCTTGGGCCAATGCCACTTCTAGCTACCTGCAGCCTTCAGATCATGACACGACTTTTGTTTAGGAAGCCCCACTGCCAATTCATGTCATGTCTCCCAAGTGTTGTAGCCACAGCAACCCTGACAGACCTCTTTTTTTCTTTTTGTTCCATTCAGGAGTCTTGCAAACACTGGGTCTGCCAAGATCGCATCTTGGCTCATTTCCCTGCTCCCATCTCCCAACCCGAAGATACCAAATTGTAATTTATTTAATCTATCTTACTATATAAATAAAATTGGAAGGCTCTTATCACGCGGCAGTTTCCGTAGCTGCCAATAGGGGGCCGCACCAACTCCAGCATTATGACAGAGCAGCACGTAAGAGAGGGCACAGCCATCGTGGCTAGTAGCCTTTGACAGCCCTCTCCTCCTTGAGTTTGTCTAGTCCCTTTTTTAAGGCATCTAAGATGGTGGCTAAGGGACGCGGGTAGCGCTGTGGGTTAAACCACAGAGCCTAGGACTTGCTGATCTGAAGGTCGGCGGTTCGAATCCCCACAACGGGGTGAGCTCCCGTTGCTTGGTCCCTGCTCCTGCCAACCTAGCAGTTCAAAAGCACGATAAATAGGTACCGCTCCGGTGGGAAGGTAAACGGCGTTTCCGTGCGCTGCTCTGGTTCGCCAGAAGCGGCTTAGTCATGCTGGCCATATGACCCGGAAGCTGTATGCCTGCTGCCTCGGCCAATAAAGCGAGATGAGCACCACAACTCCAGAGTCGTCCGCGACTGGACCTAATGGTCAGGGGTCCCTTTACCTTTAAGCTGGTGGCTATCATTGACCCCTATGGGAGCAAGTTCCACAGTTCAACTATGCGCTGTGTGAAAATGTACTTCTATGATTGTATGATTCCTTTCATGTGTCCTGAATCTTCCAACATCCAGCTGCAATGGATGTCCCGAGTTCGAGTGTTATGAGAGAGGGGGTAAAAAATTTTTTCTAGACACTTTCTCCATGCCATCCATAATGATAACCTATGGAGGGCCACGAGGTCTCTATCCCTGATGAACGCAAACCCACAGTGGTGACCCAAACCCCAGCATTAAACCCCATAGCAATAATACCATAGCAGTGCAGCGTTTATATTGACGCCCGTCGCCAAAATTGGGGTGGAGGCGGAGAAATGACAGGGAGCAGAAGGAAGCATGTAGCTACAGTCAACTTTGCATGCACCCCTTAATTCTGGAATTAATTCCAGATATTCTCCAGCTTAAATTCATACTCATAGAATTATAGATTTGGAAGGGACCCAAAGGGCCATGCAGGAATCACAGCTAAATTGAGGAAGAGTGAATGAGGGGAACAGGGAAGGAATGCAACAGGAAAAATCTGTGGTGCTTATTTGCATCTTCCAAACATAAAGAACTGTTGGGTCAATCAAGGAAGGAAAGCATGGGTTAGGCTGCAGGAGAAGCTGCGACAGCTTGAGTCAGGGGTCCATGGAGGAAAATCCAGGAGAAGGCTCCCTCTCCCCACATGCCAAGGTCTTACTGCTTGCTCCCTGGGGATCCTGACAGGTTCTTCCGGCTGCCCAGGGAGGCCAGGATCAGCATCCTCCTCTCCTGGGGCACCAGCAAAGGGCATTTCTGCTGGGCAGGGTTGGGTCTCTGTGAAGTCATCCTGGGCTGGCAAGGTCTCTTCCACCTCTGCAGCCTGAGTCGAGAGTACAGGGCAGGGCACAGGAAGAGAGGAAAGAAGTGGTTGGGACGGCAAAAAAGAGGGACAGAAACCAGAAGATGGAGCAAAGTTAAAGCAGCTGGAAATGTCCCGGACCCAAACCACACACCGGGGAGAGCGAAGGCAAGAGGATGTTTTCATTCCACGATGGTTGTTGTCATAGATCAGGAACCAGTTGCAACCCTCCAGATGTTTTGAACTCCAGCGCTCGTCATGCCTGGATGTTAGCCTTTTTGTCGTAGAACTTTAGAGCTGGAAGGGACCCCAAGGGTCATCTAACCCAACCCCCCGGCAATACAGGAATCACAGCTAAAGAATCCCTGAAATGTGGCCACCCAACCTCTGCTTAAAAACCTCTACCACCTCCCAAGGGAGTCTATTCCACTGTCAGGCCGTTCTTGCCACCAGAAAGCTGTTCCTAATGTTGAATCTCCTTCCTTGTCATTTGAATTGATTGGTTTGGGTCCTCCCCTCTGGAGCAGCAGAAAACAAGCTTGCTCCACCTTCCATGTGATGGCCCTTCCAGTATTTGAAGCTGTCTCTCCTGTAACATGCCATGCCGAGTTTTATAAACTTCCACCATGTCACCTCTTACTCTGCTTCTTCACCTAAGTCCTTCAGTTAGAAAGCCTCCTCCTTGCCCCTATTCCCTTCGAACATTTGTTGTTGCTTTACACCAAATCAGACAATGGGCCCATCTACCTCAGTACTGTCCCCACTGACCGGCAGCAGCTCTCCACAATTCCAAACGGAGGACTTTTTCTCAGCCCTATTCAAAGATGCCCAGGAACAGACCTGGGACTGTCTGCATGTAAAGCTATACTATTATACTATTATACTAATCTTTTGTTCATCTAGTTCAGGGGTCAGCCACCTTTTTCAGCCGTGGGCCCGTCCACCGTCCCTCAGACCATGTGGTGGGTCGGACTATATTGGGGGAAGGGGTGGAATGAACAAATTCCTATGCCTCACAAATAACCCAGAGATGCATTTTAAATAAAAGGACACATTCTACTCATGTAAAAACACGCTGATTCCCGGACCATCAGCCGGATTAATAAGACGATTGGGCCGCACCCAGCCCATGGGCCTTAGGTTGTCTACCTCTGATCTAGTTCAATGCTGCCTACACTGACTAGGCAGAGGCAGCTCTCCAAAGTTTTAGGCAGGGAATCTCTCTCTGAGCCCTACCTAGAGGTACCAAGGATTGAATCTGGTACCTCCTACATGCCACATAGATGCTCTATCTCTGAGCAACAACCCTTCCTATATATAAAAAGAGAACTGTATTCTAATCCGATCATCGGTTCATCTAGCACAGTGTTGTCTACACTGACTGGTAGCAGCTCTCCAGAGTCCCAGGCAAACTGTCCTTATCAGCTGGAAATGCTGGGGGCTTTTTTCATGCTTTGCAACTGCAGGATGAGCCCCCTCTGCCCGAAAAGAGGCGGCTGTTGCCATTTGACGCAGGACTGGCAGGAGAGGCGGAGAGCCTCAGCCGTGGGGTGGGGCAAGGCCAGAACGAGGTCAGGATGGCTCCCTCCTCTTCCCCCCTCAACAATGCACCATCTGGAGAGGGGCTCTGCTCATCCACCCTAATCAATTTCACTCATTATGTCTGCCTAATTGCCGCGTCCCAGATCCCAGCGAAACTCGCCGACTCTGACCTTGGAGAGGTCGCAAAGTGGTGAGCGACTGCTTTAGGCCCATGCGGTTGAGCAACCAAACACAAAGATTCTGCACTCCTGCTCTCTCTTTGAGCAGCACCTTCTTGTGAGAGCATCAAGCTTCTAGACCTCAGCTTTTTCCTCTCCACCTCTCCATCCCAGATTTCGGTCTCCTCCCTTTTGCAGTTTCCAGCAACTCTGCCTACTGGGAACCAGCCCCAATTGGGCCCATCAATGCATGAAATCCTAGTCAGAAAGAGTTAGACCCAAACAGTGCTCTCTGCCTTTGCAATCTTCAGGGACTGGTATACAGAAGCATGCTTCCTTTGAAAGAGGGAGAGCGTTCTAGCTAGTTGCCATTAATAGCCTTATGAACATAAAAAGACCCTTGCTGGATCAGGCCAGCGGCCCATCTAGCCCATCATCCTGTTCTCACAGTGGCCAACCAGAGTCCCCAGTGGAAAAACCTCAAGCTGGACCCGGGTGCAAGCACACTCTCCCCTCCTGCGACTTCCAGAAACTGGTGCTCAG